CCTGCCCCGTGACGTAGGTATGTAACCTGACACCACATAGCAGTACTCCTGCCCCGTGACGGCGGTATGTAACCTGACACCACATAGGCCCTGTGACGGCGGTATGTAACCTGACACCACATAGCACTACTTCTGCCCTGTGACGGCGCTATGTAACCTGACACCACATAGCACTACTCCTGCCCCGTGACGGCGGTATGTAACCTGACACCACATAGCAGTACTCCTGCCCCGTGACGGCGCTATGTAACCTGACACCACATAGCACTACCCCTTCCCCTTGACGGCGGTATGTAACCTGACACCACATAGCAGTACTCCTGCCCCGTGACGGCGGTATGTAACCTGACACCACATAGCAGTACTCCTGCCCTGTGACGGCGGTATGTAACCTGACACCACATAGCAGTACTCATGCCCCGTGACGGCGGTATGTAACCTGACACCACATAGCAGTACTCCTGCCCTGTGACGGCGGTATGTTACCTGACACCACATAGCAGTACTCCTGCCCTGTGACGGCGGTAAGTAACCTGACACCACATAGCAGTACTCCTGCCCTGTGACAGCGCTATGTAACCTGACACCACATAGCAGTACTCCTGCCCCGTGACGGCGCTATGTAACCTGACACCACATAGCAGTACTCCTGCCCTGTGACGGCGGTATGTAACCTGACACCACATAGCAGTACTCCTGCCCTGTGACGGAGGTATGTAACCTGACACCACACAGCAGTACTCCTGCCCCGTGACGGCGGTATGTAACCTGACACCAAAGTGTCATAGGTCATGGACATTCACCTTGATCTACTAACACCTGGTTATGCTCAGTTTCACTATAGTCTGTTTTGTTCATATTTTTACACACTTTTACGTGTAAAAAGACATAAAAACCTTTGATACGCTGTATTTGTGCCAAGGCCAAATTAGAACTAATTGAGTTGTTTGAATATTTATATATTTTGTATATTAAGTGCATTTATTTAAAATCTGAGATAAAAAAAACAGTTTTTTTTCATTTCCGTGACTACTTTAGTACCAAGTACACGTGTCTATCATGGCCATCTTGTGCGAGGGTGTGACATATAACATGACAGAGTGATCAGTCTTCATGTACAAGTTTTGTTTTGTAATGTTTAACATCTCAGAGCAACACCTTGATTCCATGTGTAATGAAAATGAAACCCTTTATTTTCATCTTGAAGATTTATTTTTCACAGTTAAGGTAAGAATTCAGCATTTTTATTCTTGATTTGCATTTTGGTTGTTCAGGGTTAGTATCGAAAGTTGATGTACCAGTGAAGATCTGGGTTAGACTTTTGTCTTCATCAACCCATGCTTGTTGTAAGAAGTGACTAACAGGATCAGGAGGTCACACTTGCTGACTTGGTTGATGCATATCATCGTATCTCAATTCGTAGATCGATGCTCATGATGTTGATCACTGGGTTGTAGCTCATGACTTGGTTATTTATGGACTGGAATATTGCTGAGTGTGGTACTTGTTGTTACCCTGCCTGGTGCTTGGTATAAAGGGTATAAAACAAGGACTGGTCGGCTCGGAGTCAGTATACTGTGTCTGTGTGGGGTATTCACTGCGGCAGGATATCTCAGTGGGCTAGCACTATAAAACTTAAGTCAAGACTAGTACAAGCAGCCAGACACACGTGCATGTTGCAAAATTAGTACAATAATCTTCAATGAGTTGTTAAATCCCATTTCACCTCACCTGGACTTTGTTACTAGTGTCATTTGATAATTGGACATTGTCAGAGTTGGGTTTTGTCAACATGAGTTATATTGTCATCATAGAGCCATGATGTCAACATGAGTTATATTGTCATCTTAGAGCCATGATGTCAACATTTTTATATTGCCATAGAGCCTTATTGTCATGATGGTTATATTGTCATCATAGAGCCTTATTGTCAACATGGTTATATTGTCATCATAGAGCCATATTGTTAACATGGTTAAATTGTCATCATAGAGCCATATTGTCAACATGGTTATATTGTCATCATAGAGCCATATTGTCAACATGGTTATATTGTCATCATAGGGCCATATTGTCAACATGGTTATATTGTCATCATAGAGCCATATTGTCAACATGAGTTATATTGTCATCATAGAGCCTTATTGTCAACAAGGTTAAATTGTCATCATAGAGCCATATTGTCAACATGGTTATATTGTCATCATAGGGCCATATTGTCAACATGGTTATATTGTCATCATAGAGCCATATTGTCAACATGAGTTATATTGTCATCATAGTGCCTTATTGTCAACAAGGTTAAATTGTCATCATAGAGCCATATTGTCAACATGGTTATATTGTCATCATAGGGCCATATTGTCAACATGGTTATATTGTCATCATAGAGCCATATTGTCAACATGAGTTATATTGTCATCATAGAGCCTTATTGTCAACAAGGTTATATTGTCATCATAGAGCCATATTGTCAACATGAGTTATATTGTCATCATAGTGCCTTATTGTCAACAAGGTTATATTGTCATAGAGCCATATTGTCAACATTGTTATATTGTCATAGAGCCATATTGTCAACATGGTTATATTGTCACCATAGGGCCATATTGTCAACATGGTTATATATTGTCATCATGGGGCCATGTTGTCAACAAGGGTATATTGTCATCATAGAGCCATATTGTCAACATGGGTATATTGTCACCATAGAGCCATATTGTCAACAAAGTTATATTGTCATCATAGAGTGAGTGAGTGAGTTAATATTTAACGTCACATCTGCAGTATTTCAGCCATATCGTGACTGTCATCATAGAGCCATATTGTCAACATGGTTATATTGTCATAAAGCCATATTGTCACCATGGTTATATTGTCATCATAGGGCCATATTGTCAACATGGTTATGTTGTCAAAGAGCCATATTGTCAACATGGTTATATTGTCATCATAGAGCCATATTGTCAACATGGTTATATTGTCATCATAGAGCCATATTGTCAACATAGTTATGTTGTCATCATAGAGCCATATTGTCAATATGGGTTTTATTGTCATCATAGAGCCATATTGTCAACATGGGTTTTATTGTCATCATAGAGCCATATTGTCAACATGGTTATATTGTCATAGAGCCATATTGTCAATATGGGTTTTATTGTCATCATAGAGCCATATTGTCAACATGGGTTTTATTGTCATCCTTAGAGCCATATTGTCAACATGGTTATATTGTCATAGAGCCATGTTGTCAACATGGTTATATTGCCATAGAGCCATATTGTCAACATGGTTATATTGTCATCATAGAGCCATATTGTCAACATGGTTATATTGTCATCATAGAGCCATATTGTCAACATGGGTTTTATTGTCATCCTTAGAGCCATATTGCCAACATGGTTATATTGTCAACATCTTGTACAAAATGTTCCACATGTATTATATCATGGATTTATAATGAACACAGAGTTCAGATATAGATTTCATAGATATAGTATACAATATTTGCATAGAGATAAGTACAGTAAACTATGTTTGTAACGAACACACTTATAACAACTGACGGAAATAACAAACTGTTTCTGTGCTGTCCATTTGCTGTATATAGGCTGTTTATACCGGGGGTATACTTATATCAAACTACGGTTAAGACAACAACAAAAAATGATTGTAGAGGTTTGATCAACCCTCACACTAGACAGTGATTTATCAAGAGGATTTGCCACACTTATGCATCCTTCAAATTCACGGTAGTTTGGTAGCCTGATACTTCTAAATTGTGTTGAGTAAATATCCAATGATGGTAGTCCTCATTTACTAGTAGCAGTAGAAACCTGTGAAAATCAGGGTTAGAATAGGTCTTCAGCAACCCATGCTTGCTATAAGAGGCGACTTATGGGATTGGGTGGTCAGGCTCGCTGACTTGGTTGATTGTATACCAATTGCATGAATTGATGCTCATGATGTCTATCACTAGATTTTCTGGTCCAGACTAAATTATTTACAGCCCGCCATCATATAACTGGAATATTGCTGAGTGCAGCACTAAACAACAAAGTAGCATTTGAGGGTTATAATTCTAAACCAGTTCTGAATGCTTAAATTTTGCTACAAAATAGAACTGTTTAAAACAGACAAAAAAAACAACCTCTGAACTAGTGAAATAATGATTACACTTAACTATGTCCTCTGAACATGTCTTGATAAATCAAATTTAAACGGCTGCCTATGATATAGAGTCCTCTGACATATTAGGGTGTGATGCTACTGTTGCTATGGAGGTTACTGTCACAATGTTATCATTGAACTTAGGTACAGAGTCACAACATCCATGTTATATCCTGTTTCCTAATTAACATAGATTAAGACCTCAGATGTTTTGTGAATAATCTAGCCAGGTCGCCTAGTGCACTCTATATTACCCTAAGGGGAACATTTATTTTGCTGTCTTATTGTTAAGAAGTTGCTCTATGAGAGAGGCATTCATATACTACACACATTTCTAAGTGGGTCAACACAGCTGTCACAGGGGAATAAGTTTCGGTTTGTGACGATGTGGAAACTCCATTTATCCTGCGTAGTATCCTTATTTGAAGGGTGCAGTTGTCACTTCCTGGATTCATTGACAATGTCTCGTGTCTACCTTGTGTGTTATGACTGGAATACAGACACAGATATTGGATTGTGGCAACGCGAATGTTGATATCAATGTCACCCTTACATGAATTACCGGAAGAAGGATAATTTCATTGTTGGATGTGGGATTTTCGAGTTGGATGTTCGGAAGTCGATCAGTGTGAATGGTGAGAATCTTATCGAGGTGGGTAACACTGGAATCTCTTAAAGAAAGGCTGCAGGAAATTTATGTGACTGTTTCGAGGAATTCTCAAACTGATCTGATACTATCTCAATTCAAGAGAGTTGTGGGGAAAGTAGTTTTCTCATATAACTGATTCAAGTTGAACAAATGTGATGTGATATTGTCTCAATTCCAGATTGTTGTGAGGAAAGTATGAACTTCAGAATCTCTTAAAGGAAGGACACAGGAAGTGTATGTGACTGTATCAAGGATTTCTCAAACTGATCTGATATTGTCTCAGTTCAAGATTGTTGTGAGGAAAGTAGTATTCTCTTTTAACGGATTCAAGTTGAACAGAAGTGACCAGCAGTATATGTGAAAAAATATGCGAATGAGAATTGTTTGTGAAGTCCCAACAGACGTTTCACTTAACTGATTCAAGGAATATTCTCAAGTGATACTGTGTGTGACTGCAGCCATGTTTTGGATGAGATAATTTCAGAAATTCCTCCAGAATGTCCAATGTCTGCCAAGAGCTAACATTGTATTGTGGTACCTGTATTTGGTTTTCTTGACACCCTGATTTCAATCTTGTGAAGAATGGTTAATATGTAATCGCACCAATTTTTTTTCAAATTGAAAGTTAAACAAGATGATAACACGAAACTAAACTAAACTCATTTTGTGAAGTCGCCATTTTGTCAACAAGAAAACTGTTGATATGGCATCTGCACAAGGAACAGAGGCGCCGTTGTCGCCAGTACTTTTAAGACAAGCGCCCAGTAAGAAACCAGCAGTGCCGCGTCCGAGGAGCAAACGCCTGAGTCAGTACAGTGCATCTACTGTCCTTGAAGCTCGAGCCAACTGCATCGCGTCCTGTGCTTGTGTGGTGAACCAGCCAATCAACGTCCCTGTGAATGTGGAGTGGGAAACCACAAAGCCCCTCCATGACCCTGACGCTCGGCCAATGGTGTCTGCCAAGGATAATGTGGTGTATCTATATCACAGTGATGGGGATCAGTGTTATCATATCACTGTCCTGAAGACTAAACCTGGCACAGATGCTGAGGTATAATGTGGATTGTTTTGTCAATTTTTACTTTGGAGATTAACCGATTGTGTTTTAAATGTACATGTTTCGAATGTAGATTCGACCGTGAATATGAAAATATTTTATTCTGATTTGTCAGCCAGAGGTATCAAATCACAATAAGCCCCCTCTGCTTGAAACACCTGGTTTAATGGACCCTTCACTGCGGAAGCTAATATTTTTAGAATAGTATTTCTTTTTCAGTCATTTTTGGTTGGCATATTTAGTAGGGCTGCATCGAATACACTATGAGGTGAATACGATTAATATTACGAATATAGGATAATGAATATGAATATTAATACACGAATACAATAACAAGTCAGCAGTTGATGTTTTATTTGTTATCTTCAGTGAAACAATAACAACACAACATGGTTTGTAAATTATTAATATATCATAAATTTATATACTGCACTTATCCAGGTACTTAGTATCTGCTCAAATGCGACAATGACCAGTGACCACAGTACTGTCAAATTAATTATTATAAGAGTGTTGGTTTTGAAGAAATCTATGCATATAATATGTTCTAATGGATATTTTTAGGTACGTGTGAGCGTGTGTGTGTGGAGCTTCCAAGCACAAGTTCTATGAGATGTCAGTGAGAAACTGCGAGATCAATTACATATCAGTGTATGTATGGTGTTTCCGTGTCGGAAAATCCACCCTTGTCACGATAGAGAGAGAGAGATTGGGTATTCAATATATTTCCCCTCTTGGGTCAGGTCTGTTTAGTATTTTATACGCATGAGTAGATCTATTTTGAAAAAAAATTTCTTTCTGCATAAAATGCTGTTTCAGGTGACTCCTAGTTTTCACCTGTTCATGTTTTACCCCGAGGGTGTTGTATGTTGCATAATCTCACAACTCAATATGTGAGACGTACCACCATTTGTATGAATTGTTTATAGTTCAAGTACATATGATACCTGTATTCAGTGAGCAAACACGATATGTAAATATATGTGGGTAGGCAAGTTGAAAAGGCTATGTTGGGTAGTAACGCACAGTGTTGTAAAGTACATGTATTTAGTTTCTTAAATATTCAAGCGTTTTTGTACACAATTACGCAACTTATCTGGGTCCACTTGCGCAGAACAATCTTAGCGCTACAGTTAATCCTTAAGATTGTGATCTTGGGCTTCACTACAATCGCTATCTTCTTACACAAAGCGATTGTTATTCCTGCACAATGACTGTGGAATATATTTATTTTATGAAAAAAACCACAATCTAGAAGCGCATACAAAAGCAGGTCTAGCCAGCTCTAGCTAGCTCTATTCCACATGAAATCAGAAACAGACACTTTTAAAAATTTGTTAGTGTCAAGAAGGATATTGTGTAATACAAGATTTCATAGACTAAATAATAGTCTAAGCTATTGTCATCTTCCCGAGGCAAAGGAGTTAACTGACTACTAAAGTCCAGTTTCCACCCTTGCCGAACTAGGCTGGTATTAAGGAGTTACGTTTTGTCTGGACTATCGAGTCAATGCATAGTCCAATCAAAATCGCGCACCGAAATCAAAATCCGGTTCGTAAACTTTCGTGCAGATTTTGATCGATTTCAGGGTTTGCAAAGCATGTGCATCGACAATTCGTTGTCAGCAGACATTTTCCAAATCCTTTCATGTTTTTAATGAAGGTGCTCACGTGATTTGATGCATTTCGCGATGTAAGACCCTTTTTAGCACAATATAGATCTTGATTATCGCCACCATTTTGTGTGAAGCAAACGCAAGTGATACGAGAGGTGGAAACTGATTGTTCCATAGGAGAGGTCTAGAAGGGACATAACTGGTAATAGCCACTGGTGGTGCAACGATCGAGCCTAGTAATTCCAGCCAAGTTTGGCAAGGGTGGAAACTGGACTTTTAAAGTCAGTTAACTCCCTTGCCTGGGGAAGATGAGCTATTGTATGTTAAGGTAATTGTAAGCTGCAGTTGAAATCTGCAGTCTGGACCAATGTTGTCCCTGAATAAACTTGACAAAAATGGCAAGCAACACAGGGTCTGTTTCACTTACATCATCAGCTTTACCTTCAAACATTGCCTATATATTTTGTCAGAATTAATGATTTGAATCAGCACTTCAACAACATGAAGAACGCACCACAGACTTAACATAAGAAATACCGTTAATTGCTTTAGTGAACCATATAACTGGTGTCTGCATGCGATTAGTAATGTCCGTGACCTTTGGGATAACAAGGGCAGATAATCTTAGTTTATACTTTAGATGGGAGTGGTTTCCCTTTGTATATGCCATTGCAAGCTCCTGATAGCAATAGCCCATTCGGGGAGCTACCGGGAGTGTAACGAAGGTGTCACGCGCTGGGAAGAAGCTTGATGCCATTGCCTATATATGCCATAGAGTAGAATCTACCTTGCTCAAAGTTTTAATGTTGTAAAATCGATGAACTCGCCTGTATTTTTGTGGGTGACATTTGTGAATGATTGTCTTTAGTTTATCATTAAAATAATCTACATATAAATGCAATTTGAAGGGCCAAATCATACAGGTTTCTTTCTCATTCTCAAACCTAAAATCAAGTGGGGCAAGGTAAGAGCAGTGTCAATATGTGAAATTTATATACATACAAGTATTCATCAAACGAGGCAATACACATGATGAGACATTTGAAATTTGTGTAAACATTTTACAAAAGTAAACAATGACTTTATGACAACCATTGGCTGATACATTTCCGTGTTGTGTGATGATATTGCAGTAGATATTGCTGCCTACCAGTAAATATTGCTGACTACCAGTAGATATTGCTGACTACCAGTAAATATTGCTGACTACCAGTCGATATTGCTGACTACCAGTACATATTGCTGACTACCAGTTAATATTGCTAACTACCAGTAAATATTGCTTCCTACCAGTAAATATTGCTGACTACCAAAAAATATTGCTAACTACCAGTAAATATTGCTTCCTACCAGTAAATATTGCTGACTGCCAGTTAATATTGCTAACTACCAGTAAATATTGCTTCCTACCAGTAAATATTGCTGACTGCCAGTAAATATTGCTGACTACCAGTCGATATTGCTGACTACCAGTAAATATTGCTGACTACCAGTAGATATTGCTGACTACCAGTAAATATTGCTGACTACCAGTAGATATTGCTGACTACCAGTAGATATTGCTGACTACCAGTAGATATTGCTGACTGCCAGTAAATATTGCTGACTACCAGTAAATATTGCTGACTACCAGTAAATATTGCTGACTACCAGTAAATATTGCTGACTACCAGTAGATATTGCTGACTACCAGTAAATATTGCTGACTACCAGCAAATATTGCTGACTACCAGATAATCCTGCTAACTGTAAAAGTTGCTGACTACCTGCAAATGTTGCTGACTACTAGTAAATATTGCTGACTACCAGATAATTCTGCTAACAGTTAATATTGCGAACTACCAGTAAATGTTGCTGACTACCAGTAAATATTGCTGACTACCAGATAATCCTGCTAACTGTAAATGTTGCTGACTACCTGCAAATGTTGCTGACTACTAGTAAATATTGCTGACTACCAGTAAATATTGCTGACTACCAGTAGATATTGCTGACTACCAGTAAATATTGATGACTACAAACAAATATTGCTGACTACCAGATAATTCTGCTAACAGTTAATATTGCGAACTACCAGTAAATGTTGCTGACTACCAGTAGATATTGCTGACTACCACATAACCTTGCAAACAGTAAATATTGCGAACTACAAGTAAATAATACTGACTACTAGTAAATATAACTGACTACTAGTAAATATTGCTGACTACTAGTATATGTTCCATGTTGTAAATCTATCCAACACCGAACTTAGGTTGTATGTTCGAATGCTCCCCTCCCAAATGATAGATGCTATGTTAGAAGTGTCATTAAGCAGTGCCAATCACTCAACTCACATTACATGTTTATTGTGTGCTACAGGCAGCTTTATAGCACACGTCAGAATGACCAGTTACATCCTGTTTGAACAATAACTTTTGACTTGTAGTTTTATAATGTTTATGTCGCCATTGTGTTTTTGTACTGTGGATTGACATTGTTCCCTATGTTTTCTCACACATGCCAACTTAGTAGTTAGTGTATGATTATTTATCATTTAACTAAAGCATTTATCCATGACATAAGCTTATGACATAAAAACATGTATGTCATACCCCAATGACATAAGTATGCAAATTAGATATGCAAATTAGATAACCTGAAGTGGGACTTTTTTCGCAGGTGCACTGAGTAGGTGTTTACAAACAACATGGATACCTTTGATGTTGGAGACAATGTTTTAATAGATGAAAGGGGAAGTGCTACAGTGATAATCCGTGTTGACAAAAGATATTACTGGTTACAGGTTGATGGTACTTTTTTTCTCAGCAAAGGAATATGCCATAAAGGAGTTAAGAGGTTGTTTATTTTGGTTTACACGGCTATGGAAAACATGTATCACTACGCACGATCTATACGTAAGATTTCGACAAGTTGCTGATGTTATTGTTAATGCAATTATTCCTTAAAAGGGAAGCAAAAATGATAAATAGAATTCATCACTTGTGTTTTTTAATATGGGAAATATCAACCTCGTCCCGTTAATCGGTATTTGCCTCGCCAAAGGCTCGGCAAATACCGATTAACTAAGACTCAGTTGATATTTCCCATATTAAAAAACACTCGTGATGAATCCTCTATGTACAAAATGAGTTCATGTGTTTACTCTTAGTTGATGCTGTCTGAAATTTGTTTAAATATTAAAAATGAAGATCCATGTTAAAATAGGTCTTCCGCAACCCATGCTTTCCGTAAAAGGCGACTATGCTTGTTGAAAGAGGTGACTAACGGGATCAGGTGGTCAGGTTCACTGATTTTGTTGATGCATGTCATTGTATCCCAATTGCGTAGATCAATGCTCGTGATATCAATCACTGGATTGTTTGGTCCAGTCTTGATTATTTACAGACTGGTGTCATATAGCTGGAATATTACTGAGTGTTGTATCCACGAACTAGATTCATCAGATGGGTTGACAATAACCATTGGTTGTGTATGACTGCCTTCGTGGTCTAGTTGTAGAGCGTCCGCCCGGAGAGCGGAAGGTCCTGGGTTTGATCCCCGGCCACATCATATCAAAAGACGTTAAAAGATGGTACTTGTTGTTAACCTGTCTGGCGCTCGGCATTAAGGGTCTAAAAGAAGGACTGGTCAGCTGGGAGTCAGTATACTGTGTCTGAGTGGGGTATTCATGTTAAATGTACAGAAATGTATGGAACGGACACGAAAAAAAATATTTATTGTGTCCCAGGGGACACACAATAATATTCATTGTACCAAAATTCTTGACAGGAAATGTAAGTGAGTGAGTGAGTTGGGTTTAATGCCGCTTTTAACAGTATTCAAGTTATATCAAGGTTATGCAAGCTGAATAGGGTACATTAGGTAATTATGCGGGGTCAAACTGTTTCATGTGATTACAGAGGCAACTCAAAATATATTTGTTTATGGCCATTTATGTTGAATCAGGTATAAAGATATGCAGCCTTTCTGGAGCTCTGAGCTCTGTGGTGATGCCCTGTAAACAAGAGTAGTTTTTTCACAAACCAGTGAATGATATGAGGGTTGCCTTTTTTGTTACAATGGCACACAATCAACCAATTCCCTGGGTGAGTGAGTGAGTTGGGTTTAACACCGCTTTTAACAGTATTCCGGTTATATCGCGGCGTGTCAGCTTGATTCGGGAGGAAAGCCCGAAGTGATGCAGGTCTCAGACGTTTACCACTTCGGTGAAACCCACGAGCACGGGTATGGTGCTGACAAACCTAGAAACATAATAGGGGTGAACCCGGATTCGAACCCACAATCATAGGTTTCTGGCGTGCCCAGGGGACGCAACTCTTCACAGTGAATCGCGGCGCCTTAGACGACTGGGCTACCCGTGCTCCCGACAAGAAATGTAAATTCATTTAGAAGTTGGAGTACTAAGTAAGGATAAGAAGCTGTAATAAAGAAGTTGTACATCCATAAATTCTTATCCTTACTAAGAAATATAAAGTAATTATCTAAGAGCACAGTACAATTAGTATACACTATTTCATTACTTTACAGGACCCTCATATTTCATGTAGGGATCCTTGAAATAAGTAATTCGGCGTCCTCTGGACCCCTATCTTTGTAGGTCAAGGTAACCCCTTGAATAATATTCCAGAAATATTAAGGTCATCTGTAAAACCTTGTTCTATTTTAAAATAAACAAATTGTTTCATGCTACACTCAATTTTGGGTTAGGCTCAAGCAGAAGTCAGTCTGGACAGAACCCCAATGGAAAGTTCTTGATATTTTAGGCAACTGTCTTCCAATTTTAGGCAACTGTCTCCCAAATTTACTACTTGGTATTTCCGGTTTCGGCATAAAAAACGATACATGTAGCGAATGATAACAGTTCACAAGACAGAAAAAATACATTTCACAGAAGACAAGGATCTAAACAGAACGTCGCTATTACAGTATAATAAAGAAATTGTTATTCATAAATTGTTTCTACTTTGTCATCCGTCGTCTTCTAAGAAATGACTGTCAAGCAATGCAGGATTAATGTACAAATAATGACAATTATAAAGAGGAAACCAATTAAGTACAGTGAAAGAGTGATGAGTATGAGTGTTGTAACAAAGAGCTGACTAGGGTAACAATATAGATCACATCATTGACAAGTTCTAGTTCAGAGGAGTAATTTTGATAGGTAGTTGATTCCAAGCTGGGAGTGACAGAAATTCTGTGTCAGTTGGTGTGGGTTCCCGGTTCACCCCGTTTATGTTTCTAGGTTTGTCAGCACCATACCGAAGTGGTAAACGTCTGAGTCCTGCATCACTTCGGGCTTTCCTCCCACATGAAGCTGACACGCCGTGATATAACTGGAATACTGTTAAAAGCAGTGTTAAACCCAACTCACTCACTCACTCACTCACTGTGTCAGTTGGAGGTAAAAGAGGCCAAGATGCCAATGTCACAAAATGAAGTTATGGCGGTGACGGGTCTAGGGTATATATCGAATATAAAACACCCTGGATAAGTGAGGATTTCACAAGTATAGTTTTTGAAATGATCTGCTTAAGACTTATGTCATGATCATGCTTGCATCTCAGGAAAAACAAAATCATCATATCTGAATAAAACTCAGACATTCTGATTCACAATGAAATGTGAACTTCAGATTTTGGGACTTCAAAATAAAGGCATGGTACTGATGATTTCGCAAGCAAAGCAAACATTTTTTATTTATTGATGATCAGGACTGAAGTCCAGAGATTATAGTGGGGTTACCATGGTTACCGGGAGTTTAGTTTCCTTGTCATGATAAAAATGCTGTGATTGTAAATCCCGTTTATGTACATATGTCAACATGATTCACAGCTTTTTTTATCTGTTTCAGATATTTTTGACCTTTTCCCTGGAGACATACACCAGTGGGGGGTTGCAGTACACCTTCAAAGGGCCATACTGGCATTACGTGTGCATCTACGAAAACAATAAGGAACGTGAATTTGTGTTTGAACTTGAGAAAGGTCAACAAGGGGGACAACAAGCTGAGATCTTTACACAGAAGGTGAAGGACATTCTCCGGCTAATGGAACAAGGTCATGATCGAGAAGCAGGTGAGTGAGTGAGTGAGTGAGTGAGTGAGTGAACTTCTTGTAATTTTCAAGTTGGGCAGGCCGAGAGGGGGCTTCACACACTGTACCATCATGGGCACAGGTTAAAGGATGGGAGTTACGATGACCTTAGCACTAAGACTATGTTAAGTGTAGATTAAGAGATGGGAGTTAAATTGACCTTAGCGCTACAACTATGTTAAGTTTAGGTTAAAGGATGGGAGTTATGATGACCTTAGCACTAAGTCTATGTTATGTCTAGGTTAAGGGATAGGAGTTAAGATGACCTTAGCGCTAAGACTTTGTAAAGTCTAGGTTAAGGGATGGGAGTTACGATGACCTTAGCGCTACAACTATGTTAAGTTGAGGTTAAAGGATGGGAGTTACATTGACCTTAGCGCTACAACTATGTTAAGTTTAGGTTAAAGGATGGGAGTTATGATGACCTTAGCGCTACAACTATGTTAAGTTGAGGTTAAAGGATGGGAGTTATGATGACCTTAGCGCTACAACTATGTTAAGTTGAGGTTAAAGGATGGGAGTTACATTGACCTTAGCGCTACAACTATGTTAAGTTTAGGTTAAAGGATGGGAGTTATGATGACCTTAGCGCTAAGACTATGTTAAGTCTAGGTTAAAGGATGGGAGTTATGATGACCTTAGCGCTAAGACTATGTTAAATTGAGGTTAAAGGATGGGAGTTGCGATGACCTTAGCGCTAAGTTCGCTTTGTGGAACAGGAAGCAGGACAGCACCTCATGTTTAATGGAAGAACTATCTAACATAGGGATCTGATGATGTGAGGCGGTGTCCATGCTTTCACTCACTGGTTTTCTAAGTGGAGATTTAATTATATAAAGGCTGCTGTGATGTGGTTGGAATATTGCTAACTGCTGCATTAACCGACATATTTTACATTATCCTGACTTATACGCTAAAGCAACAAGTGTGATATTTTTTACTTTAAAATAACTCTTATTTATTTCATGCTGACTCATCCTTATTGATTTAGTGTATGAGTCAGGATAAGTATAAATGATAGATTTTCATAAAAATACATATTCATTTAAACAACAAGAACATCATTTTAACATTATCACTCCATTTCTTTTACTGTACCCAGATTGTATCTTGGAATATTTATCACCAGGTAGTTTCTTGTGTCTGTCGCTTAGTAGAGATTTGGGAATTTATGGTCTCAGGGCCAAATGTATCATCTGCATTGATTTTGACATGAAATAGTTGCCTCCTGGCCATGGCTCCCCCCCTATGGTATTGCTAGAATATAGCTACATATTTTTGTTTTAATTACTTTAAAACAAACTTTTTTTACGATCACCAATTAGGTGCTCTGTGCCAAAACAAAATGGAGCCAAGTTATTTGTGCGACAGAGCATCTTAGAAAAAGACATTGGAAGACAGACCCATATTTATTGTCTCAAATTACTATCAATAGGTAGATTTCTCAGGCGATGTGCTTCAGTCCGCAACTATAGACAGGTATATATATTAGCATAGATATTGGCGTCGTATTATAGAAAGCGATATGCAATAAAAGCAGCTTAAAACCATACTTCCTCACTCATTGTCTTATGTCAATTTTTCCAGAAATAGCTAAAGAAAGGTTCCCAGCTGTCTTCTTTTATGAAAGAATGGATGATCCGTCGATGCAGAGTGGGTTGCCGCGAGGGATGCAGCCGACCCCACAGGATCACCTGGAGAAGATTGTGGACCTCCTGCAGGCAGCCATTCTCACTGGCGATGGTGACCGGGCCAAACTGATCGCCCAGCGCCTGGCGGTAGAGAGAGTGAGACTGGATATTAAGGTGGATGAAACAGAGCACCAAAGAAGGATAAGTGAACAAAGTATTAGGTGAGGAACGTTTGTACACAACCCCTCAGTAGTTGAGGATTGTTGTTAGAAGTGACTGAAGTAGGGATTGGTCAGGCTCTGTGACTTGGCTGATTGCATGGCATTGTATCCTGATGAAGCTCAGGGTTTCAGTTCCTAGTTTGCCTGGTGAATGTGTGAATGTGTGAATGAGTGAATGGGTGAATAGGTGACCCAGACTCAGAGTATTTATAGGCCACTGTGATATGTTGGACTGTGTAACTCACTCATTCACCAATTCACTCATTCATCCATTCACCAATTCACTCATTCACCCATTCACACATTTACCCATTCATCCATTCACACATTCACTCATTCATCCATTCACTCATTCATCCATTCACACATTCACCCATTCACTCATTAACCCATTCATTCACCCATTCACTCAATCACCTATTCACACATTCACTCATTCATCCATTCACACATTCAATCATTTATCCATTCACTCAATCACCTATTCACCCATTCACTCATTCATTCATTCATCCATTCATTCATCCATCCATTTACTCCTTCATCCATTCATTCACCAATTCATGCATTCACTCATTCATTCATCCATTCACACATTCACTCATTCATCCATTCACCTATTCACACATTACCTCATTCATCCATTCATTCATCCATTCACTCATTCATCCATTCATACATTCATCCATTCATTCACTCGATCACCCATTCACTCATTCTCCCATTCACTCATTCTCCCATTAACTAATTCATACATTCACTCATTCATCCATTCACACATCCACCCATTCACCCATTCACTCATTAATCCATTCACTTATTCACCCATTCACTCATTCATCCATTCACTCATTCTCCTATTCACTCATTCATCCATTCACACATTCACCTATTCACTCATTCACTCATTCATCCATTCACTTATTAACACGTTCACTTATTCACACATTCACCAATTCACTTATTCATCCATTCACACATTCATTCATTCATTCATTCATTCACCCATTCACTCCTTCATCCATTCACTCATTCACCTATTCACTCATTCACCCAGTCATCCATTCACTTATTAACACGTTCACTTATTCACCATTCACTCATTAATCCATTCACTCATTCATCCATTCACCCATTCACACATTCACTCATTCATTCATTCATTCATTCACCCATTCACTTATTCACCCATTCACTCATTCACACACTCATTCATTCACATTGAGTCGACCACCTCCACAACTAATTGGATAGAGTGTCTGGTGTCTGCCCGGAGAGCAGAAGGTCGGTGGTTTCATCACCGGGCTGCATTCTTTCATCAAACTTACACATAGACAATGTTTCAAATCAGGTGTTTATTACAATGGACTCTAGACAGTGGACAACAGTCTCTCTTTAAGATCTTCATTTCAAGTGTGTTTGAAACCGCCTCCATGGTCTAGTAGATAGATCGCTTGTGTCCGACTTATGGCTACCAACACATGAAGGTTGTTAATCAGTAGGCATCTGTTACCTGTGATGGAAGGGAAGGACATGTCTTGATGGTGTCGTGTCTTGATTCCAGCGTCAAGGTCCATGTGGAAGACCGAGAGACATCCGGCTGCCCTGTCAACCTGAAAGTGAAGCCTTCAGACACCATAGGGGACCTCAAGAGAAAGGTATTCAGACACCATAGGGGACCTCAAGAGAAGGGTATTCAGATACTGGGGACCTCAAGAGAAAGGTATTCAGACATCATAGGGGACCTCAAGAGAAAGGTATTCAGACACCATAGGGGACCTCAAGAGAAAGGTATTCAGACACTAGGAGACCTCAAGAGAAGGGTATTCAGATACTGGGGACCTCAAGAGAAAGGTATTCAGATACTAGGGACCTCAAGAGAAAGGTATTCAGACACCATAGGGGACCTCAAGAGAAAGGTATTCAGACACTAGGGGACCCCAAAAGAAGGGTATTCAGATACTGGGGACCTCAAGAGAAAGGTATTCTGACACTAGGGGACCCCAAAAGAAGGGTATTCAGACACTAGGGGACCCCAAAAGAAGGGTATTCAGATACTGGGGACCTCAAGAGAAAGGTATTCTGACACTAGGGGACCCCAAAAGAAGGGTATTCAGACACTAGGGGACCCCAAAAGAAGGGTATTCAGATACTGGGGACCTCAAGAGAAAGATATTCAGACACTAGGAGACCTCAAGAGAGGGTATTCTGACACTAGGGGACCTCAAGAGAGGGTATTCTGACACTAGGAGACCCCAAAAGAAGGGTATTCTGACACTAGGGGACCTCAAGAGAAAGGTATTCAGACACTAGGAGACCTCAAGAGAAGGGTATTCTGACATTAGGGGACCCCAAAAGAAGGGTATTCAGATACTGGGGACCTCAAGAGAGAGGTATTCAGATACTGGGGACCTCAAGAGAAGGGTATTCAGATACTGGGGACCTCAAGAGAAAGGTATTCTGACACTAGGGGACCCCAAAAGAAGGGTATTCAGATACTGGGGACCTCAAGAGAAAGGTATTCTGACACTAGGGGACCCCAAAAGAAGGGTATTCAGATACTGGGGACCTCAAGAGAAAGGTATTCTGACACTAGGGGACCCCAAAAGAAGGGTATTCAGACACTAGGGGACCCCAAAAGAAGGGTATTCAGATACTGGGGACCTCAAGAGAAAGGTATTCAGACACTAGGAGACCTCAAGAGAAGGGTATTCAGATACTGGGGACCTCAAGAGAAAGGTATTCTGACACTAGGGGACCCCAAAAGAAGGGTATTCAGATACTGAGGACCTCAAGAGAAGGGTATTCAGACACTAGGAGACCTCAAGAGAAGGGTATTCTGACACTAGGGGACCCCAAAAGAAAGGTATTCAGATACTAGGAGACCTCAAGAGAAGGGTATTCAGATACTGGGGACCCAAAGAGAAGGGTATTCAGACACTTGGGGACCCCAAAAGAAGGGTATTCAGATACTGGGGATCTCAAGAGAAAGGTATTCAGACACTAGGAGACCTCAAGAGAAGGGTATTCTGACACTAGGAGACCTCAAGAGAAGGGTATTCAGATACTAGGAGACCTCAAGAGAAAGGTATTCAGATACTGGGGACCTCAAGAGAAAGGTATTCAGACACTAGGAGACCTCAAGAGAAAGGTATTCAGACACTAGGAGACCTCAAGAGAAGGGTATTCAGATACTAGGAGACCTCAAGAGAAGGGTATTCAGATACTAGGAGACCTCATGAGTATAAAACACATGCTGCCTGCAGGCGTTACAATGGTGAATGTACTGTACACTAGTGGTAGTGACAACACTGTAAAAACCTGTAAACATTGTTGGTCCCAAGGTTTAATAACTACCCGGTCACTAGCGGGATATGACCTCAGTAAGGCCACACTTTTTTAATTTGATGTTTCACAGATTTATTCCAGCTTTTCCACACAATGTCGGCCAAAATTTAAATAATCATAAATAGATACCGGTATGTCAATCGTTTATTAATTTATATGAAAGTATTTCTGCCGTGGAGTTAAAACTGCAGCTGGCTTCTTGAATCACTGATAGTGATGTAGTCATGGAATTATATATAACAATTTTTTGTTGTATAAGAGTGTCTATACTACTACAAGAGAGATAATAAAAATAAATTTTGTTTTGTTTAATCTTTTTCTTTTCCAGCTGCTTTTCTGTAGGGGGGAGGTTGGGGTGTGAAACGAAAAATAAAAAATGTGTAGCCTAACTACAGTTGAGTTATACCCTTTACACTGAACATGCAAAATATTAAAATATTTTTCTGTAATGTTGAGTTTACATGTTATAGATGTACCTTGAGTATGAGTTTCCTGTGGAAGTCCAAAGGTGGATAATCGGCAAGAAGATCCCCAAAGACCAAGATACCCTCCACAGATGCAATATCCGCACCTCCGGCCACACTCTGTATCTGTACTTGGCCACTGCCAGGTCTGTCAACTTGGAGCCAAACCAGATGGACATGAGTAAGATATGATCATTGTGACTTCTGTCTCCATGTTTCACTAAGACTTCCTGTACCCTAGCCGGCCTGTATCTGTACTTGTCTCCTCATGGAGATCTGGGGTAGAATAGGTCTTAAGCAACCCATGCTTGCTGCAAAACGCGACTATGCTTGTAATAAGAGGGGACTAAGAGGATCAGGTGGTCAGGCTTGCTGACTTGGTTGATGTATGTCATTGTGTCCCAATTGCATGGATTGATGCTCATGATGTCAATCACTGGATTGTCTGGTCCAGACTCGAGAATTTGCAGACCGCCGTCATGTAGCTGGACTATTGCTGAGTGCTGCGTTAAACAACAAACAACTGTACTTGGCCATCTATCAAGTCTGTCAGATGGATATGACAATGATATGACTACAACAACCTCTGTCTCTATGTGTTCTGAGACTGCCTGTACCCTGTATCTGTTAGGGCATGGCTTGATTTAACTATATAAAACATGCACCAGTGCAACCTGTTATTGAAAAATGCAACCTAATATTAATCTCTACTTGCACCAAGTGCAGGCATGGAAAAAAAAATCAAATTTGTGTCTAGCTAACCCTTACTTTTCCGCACAACATCTATCTTTGAACACACTCAATATCTCTTAGCTTTATTTACCATACTACATCACTAATCTCTGTGTTACGTGTAATATGTGACGCTTTCTTGGGGGTGACATCACCTATGTTTCAACTTTGATAAGTTTACGAGACCAAAGTACAATCTGGGTTTGTCTGGTGCAACTAGGTTTTCATGTCAACATGCACCTGGTGCAAGTTAAATCAAGTTACAGATGTGTTACAGATCTGTATGATATATTGTATGTTACAGATCTGTATGATATATTGTGTGTTACAGATCTGTATGGTATATTGTGTGTTACAGATCTGTATGGTATATTGTGTGTTACAGATCTGTATGATATATTGTATGTTACAGATCTGTATGGTTTATTGTGTGTTACAGATCTGTGTGATATATTGTATGTTACAGATCTGTGTGATGTATTGTATGTTACAGATCTGTGTGATATATTGTATGTTACAGATCTGTGTGATATATTGTATGTTACAGATCTGTATGATGTATTGTATGTTACAGATCTGTATGATAAATTGTATGTTACATATCTGTATGATGTATGTTACATATCTGTATGATATATTGTATGTTACATCTGTATGATATATTGTATGTTACAGATCTGTATGCTAAATTGTATGCTACATATCTGTGTGATATATGTTACAGATCTGTGTGATATATTGTATGTTACAGATCTGTTTGATGTATTGTATATTACATATCTGTATGATATATTGTATGTTACATATCTGTATGATGTATGTTACAGGTCTGTGTGATATATTGTATGTTACATATCTGTATGATATATTGTAAGTGACAGATCTGTATGCTATATTGTATGTGACAGATCTGTATGCTATATTGTATGCTACAGATCTGTGTGATACATTGTATGTTACAGATCTGTATTATTTATTGTGTGTTACAGATGTGTATGATACATTGTGTTACAGATCTGTGTGATACACTGCATGTTACAGATCTGTATGTTGAATTGTATGTTACAGATCTGTATGATATATTTTAGGTTACAGATCTGTATGATATATTTTATGTTACAGATCTGTGTGATACATGGCATATTTTATGTTTCAGTGAATGCAGCAGGAGGACGGCCTCCTCCAGAAATGAGTGGGGGTGAGTTTTTGTGAATTCAATCTATTATTATTCTTTTTTCCTGTTTCCATGGCAACAAGTTTGAATTTGACTGTTAGTGGTGTGTTTGTCCCGACCATATCTCTAAAAGTAATCAGTACTCTTTCTTGAAACCGTGCACAACTGGTGCCTTTTTGCTATTAGGGATTTGTAGAATTTATATTTTTTCCTTTTCCATGGCAACAAGTTTGACTTCGACTCTGTTCATGGTGGTGTGTACCTGACATAGAAATACAAAGTTCCAAATCCAAATTCCATGGTATTGTTTTGATAGCTCAATAACTGCTCTTGTATAAGGACAGATAGATAAAATACTGTCATCAAGTTGGACTTAAAGTAATATATAGTCTCATGATTTGTTCTTTCGAATTTGAGGCAGGAGGGGGAAGGGAGGGGGAAGGGAGGTGGAGATTTGACGTCCTTTGATGACCCTTGTCTACATTTGTTGTTTAATGCCACACTAACCAATGTTCCAGCTATATGATGGCGGTATGTACTAGGGCGGTACGGGTAACTCGGGTACCCGGGTCGGGTGGGTACTGAGTAGGGTACCCACAGGACTACCCGGATCCGTGGTTAGTCATGTGATATATAGTTTAATGACAAAAATTATCTAGAACTCTATGGTTACACTGCAAGTCACTAATGTTCGCATTTCTTTCTGACTATGCACCCATTCCTTCTGACTTTTCATATGGTTGAATAAAGATATAACTTCAGTGATATGCAGGACCAGATCGTCTAAATACGTTTTGCAAGTGCCGTGCTATAGCAAAATTCCGAATCGGACATTTTGTATCTCTTGAGACCTACAGTGGGTACCCGGGTAGGGTCGGATAATAGGGGGTTGGGTACCCGGGTAGTAAATTTGGACTCATTCCAGCCCTAGTATGTACAGAACTGTGTCTGCACCAGACTGTGCAGTTATTGACATCATGAGCATTGATCTACGCAACTAGGATATGATGACATGCATCCACCAAGTCAGCCAGCCTGACCACCTGATCTCGTCTGTCGCCTCTGTTGACAAGAATTGGTTGCTGAAAACCAGTTCTAACCTGGATCTTCACAGGGGCGGTCGGGTAGCCTAGTGGTTAAAGCGTTCGCTCGTCACGCCGAAGACCCGGGTTCGATTCCCGACATGGGTACAATGTGTGAAGCCCATTTCTGGTGTCCCCTGCCGTGATATTGCTGGAATATTGCTAAAAGCGGCATAAAACCATACTCACTCACTCACTCACTGGATCTTCACAGGTTGTTGGCTTGTAAACATGTTGCTAAGGCATTTCATATTTTGTTACAGATTACATGACCATGACTGCTCTCCGACAGCCCTTGAGGGGTCAGGGAGCAGCAGGTCAAAGGTCGAGTAGGCCTCCAAGCAGACAACAGTCAAATGCCTCCACTGGCTCTGGAAGCACTCTGTCACATCTGTCAGAAGCTAGTAGTCAGGAATCGTTTAGTGACCCTCTACGTGCATCTGGATCAGCTCCCTCTGTAGGCCAAAACAAAGGTCAAGGTCAGAATGCAGCCAGAGGTCAAGGTCAGGGTGTTGTAAGAGGTCAAGGTCAAAATGTTGGCAGAGGTCAACGACAAGGCAGTGGCAGAGGTCAAGGTCAATTTGTGGGGAGGGGTGGAGCTCATGGTCCAATTCGTAGTACACAAGATGTTTTGGATGAACCGGTTTTGATTGGGTCCAGTCCTCCGAGAGCAACTGGTGGAGGTCTACACACAGCCAGCTCCACTGCGTCACCAGGAGAGGTAAGGACGTGAAGTCAAACTATGATGCATAGAGACTATTACCAAGTGTGTTTTCTCACCTAAATATCATATTATAGGAATAAAAATTGTATAATGTGGGCCTTTGGCGACCATAATACGTATTATTATTTCTAATATATCATATATATCATATAGATATGAATTGCCTTAAAGGTACATGTTGTTGACCATTCTGAAGATTTGTTTGTAAACAATGTAAGTGTAACGCTAATTTTCAGGGCATTATCATTTGCAGAAGCCCAAGGTCTTCCATTAACTGCCTGACGAAAGGAGGGCAGTTGAAAGACCGAAGGCTTCTGCCAATGATAATGCCCTGAAAAATAGCGTTACCGTTATTATAGCTAAAATGGATGGAATTTGTTATCAAATAATAAGAAACAACAATATCGGTTTTGAAACATTTACTGCAATCAACACGAATGTCACTGACCCACTTTTACAAATATGGAAACGTCATAGAACAAACCAGATGACGTCACTATTGAACATGACGTCACCCATCCCTATCCCTATGACGTCACCTAACAACTGCGTGATAATGGCCCGTCGTCAAGCAAAATGCGGGCATTATCAAGTTACAGTGGCCTGGTCATTTCTGATAAGATGCGGGCGGTTTAATGATAATTCTATCCATTTTAGCTATAATAGCTGATAACCCCCAAGTGTACTTGTCTCAGCTTGCCTTATTCCATTCCTGCTCCAGTGTCCACACCGCGGGTGTTGGCTTGTCACATGACCAGTGAGTGAGTGAGTGAGTAATGGTTTTACGCCGCTTTTAGCAATATTCCAGCAATATCAAGGCGGGGGACACCAGAAATGGGCTTCACACATTGTACCAATGTCGGGAATCGAACCCGGGTCTTCGGCGTGACGAGCGAACGCTTTAACCACTAGGCTACCCGACCGCCCCACATGACCAGAATTTCCTCTTGTTTGTGAACTAAAACACTTTTTCTGAACTAAGAACAGACAGGCCTAATGCAAGCCTTTCGGTGCGCTTGACATATTGTTTTGCTTAATTTTATAGATGTGCTAATACAGCTGCAACAGCAAGGTGCATGACAATATTATTTTACACATCAAAATGACCATATGTTGCTTGCTCTCCAAAGGGCTTCGATGGGGATAAATTCGTAAATGGAAATACTTTTGGGATATTTTCATGACGTATGTTTGTCAAAATGTGTAGACTTATCCAAAATGAAACAGTTGAAAAACACATGAACAGAGTGTGAAAGATGTGACAATATGACAGAAGTGCAAGGCCACAAGGAGTGAGTGAGTGAGTGAGTGGCTTCATATGTCTGAGACATACCCGGTAGTTTTATTGTCGTCTAGGCTTTGATAAACACTGGCTTCTAACCTGGTCAAACTGGCAATTAGTACTTTGTAACTCATCCGTAAGAAAAAACTTACTAAAGCCTCCGATAAGAAACATGAGTTTACTCTGTGTAGTGCTTGCGTTGTCGGCTTCACTGTGCGGAGCTCTTTTGATTTGATTTGAGAATGGAATCCTTGATGTGATGTCACACTCTGAAATTATTTCTTGCATGATTTAAAAACACACAGAATCGTCAACATACTGTTTCTTTTAATATTTTTTTGCATTTGTTGAGGTCAGCTGTGCAGATGTTCGCTGTGTGCATGACAGTTTTTTTCACTTTATACCTCCATAATGCAAAAAAACATTGAAGTCAGTTTTACCAAGTTTTACAGACTGCGTTATCACAATCCATTAGATGATAAACTTTTTAATGATTTTTTTTTATTTACTTGTTGTTTCATGACATCCAGTCAACCAAATATCCATCCTCTAATCTTCATGGTCCATGGCGCTGTGTGGAGTTGCTTCCCTTAGTCATGCCAGGATCCAATTGCTGGTTTGAATCTAGCTTGTTTGTTTTCAGACGCTGGGTTGGGAGTGTCCAGCTTGTACATTTATAAACAAACCGACGCGGCCTGGGTGTGAGGTGTGTGGAGGAGATCGACCCCCAGACTATGAGGTTCCGATTGGTTACATTATGACCAAGGAGGAGCTGTGCTGGTTGGCTGACAGAGAGGATCAGGAGAGGATGGTCCAGGAGGTCAGTACTTACTGGGGGGAGAGGTCAGAGTAGCTGTGGAGGTGGGTGGGAGTGTGAGGACTTGGGGCGTGAGAGTTGGAGTGTACAGAAGTCAGTACTTACTGGGGGAGAGGTCAGACTAGCTGTGGAGGTGGGCGGGAGTGAGAGGACTTGGGGCGTGAGAGTTGGAGGGTACAGAAGTCAGTACTTACTGGGGGAGAGGTCAGACTAGCTGTGGAGGTGGGTGGGATCGTGAGGACTTGGGCGTGAGAGTTGGAGGGTGCAGAAGTCAGTGCTTACTAGGGGGAGAGGTCAGAGTAGCTGTGGAGGTGGGTGGGATCGTGAGGACTTGGGCGTGAGAGTTGGAGGGTACAGAAGTCAGTACTTACTGGGGGGAGAGGTCAGACTAGCTGTGGAGGTGGGCGGGAGTGAGAGGACTTGGGGCGTGAGAGTTGGAGGGTACAGAAGTCAGTACTTACTGGGGGAGAGGTCAGACTAGCTGTGGAGGTGGGCGGGAGTGAGAGGACTTGGGGCGTGAGAGTTGGAGTGTACAGAAGTCAGTACTTACTGGGGGAGAGGTCAGAGTAGCTGTGGAGGTGGGTGGGAGTGTGAGGACTTGGGGCGTGAGAGTTGGAGGGTACAGAAGTCAGTACTAACTGGGGGGAGAGGTCAGAGTAGCTGTGGAGGTGGGTGGGAGTGTGAGGACTTGGGGCATGAGAGGAGGGTCCAGGAGGTCAGTACTTACTGGGGGGAGAGGTCAGAGTAGCTGTGGAGGTGGGCGGGATCGTGAGGACTGGGGGCGTGAGAGTTGGAGGGTACAGAAGTCAGTACTTACTGGGGGGAGAGGTCAGAGTAGCTGTGGAGGTGGGTGGGATCGTGAGGACTGGGGGCGTGAGAGTTGGAGGGTACAGAAGTCAGTACTCACTGGGGGGAGAGGTCAGACTAGCTGTGGAGGTGGGTGGGAGTGTGAGGACTTGGGGCGTGAGAGTTGGAGTGTACAGAAGTCAGTACTTACTGGGGGAGAGGTCAGACTAGCTGTGGAGGTGGGCGGGAGTGTGAGGACTTGGGGCATGAGAGGAGGGTCCAGGAGGTCAGTACTTACTTGGGGGAGAGGTCAGAGTAGCTGTGGAGGTGGGTGGGAGTGAGAGGACTTGGGGCGTGAGAGTTGGAGGGTGCAGAAGTCAGTGCTTACTGAGGGGAGAGGTTTGAGTATCTGGCGGTGGACACAACCATGAGAGCAGGAGGGTGAGGTTTGGGTTGTGAGAGCGGAAGGTTGGGGTTGTGAGAGTGAGAGGTTGGGGTTGTGAGAGTGGAAAGTTGGGGTTATGAGAGTGTTAGGTTGGGGTTATGAGAGATGGAAGTTGGGGTTATGAGAGTGGGAGATTGGGGTTGTGAGAGTGGGAGGTATGGGTTGTGAGAGTGTTAGGTTGGGGTTGTGAGAGTGGGAGGTTGGGGTTATGAGATGGGGAGGTTGGGGTTGTGAGAGTGGGAGGTTGGGGTTGTGAGAGAAGGAGGTTGGGGGTTGTGAGAGTGGAAGGTTGGGGTGCGAGAGTGTTAGGTTGGGGTTGTGAGAGAGAGGTTGGGGTTGTGAGAGTGGGACGTTTGGGTTGTGAGAGTGGGAGGTTGGGGTTGTGAGAGAGGGAGGTTGCGGTTGTGAGAGGGAGGTTAGGGTTGTGAGAGAGGGAGGTTGGGGTTGTGAGAGAGGGAGGTTGGGGTTATGAAAATGGGAGGTTGGGGTTGTGAGAGTTGAAGGTTGGGGTTGTGAGAGTGTGAGGTTGGGGTTGTGAGAGAGGGAAGTTGAGGTTGTGAGAGAGGGAAGTTGAGGGTATGAGAGCGGAGAGGGAAGGACTCAGGAGTGAGAGGGGATGGGGTTATGAAAATGGGAGGTTGGGGTTGTGAGAGTGTGAGGTTTGGGTTATGAGAGTGGGAGGTTGAGGTTGTGAGAGTGGAAGGTTTGGGTTGTGAGAGTGGGAGGTTGAGGTTGTGAGAGTGGGAGGTTGAGGTTGTGAGAGAGGGAAGTTGAGGTTGAGAGAGAGGGAGGTTGAGAGAGAAGGAAGTTGAGGTTGAGAGAGAGGGAAGTTGAGGGTATGAGAGAGGGAAGTTGAGGTTGAGAGAGAGGGAAGTTGAGGTTGAGAGAGAGGGAAGTTGAGGGTATGAGAGTGGAGAGGGAAGGACTCAGGAGTGAGAGGGGAATGCTGAACACATGTAGAGGGGTCACTGTACTATTGTGTTCTATGCCTGTTCATGATCACTTGGACAAAAGGTTCTGGTGATGGTATTTCAATGTCCTTCATGAGCCCACTGGAAGTCTTACGATGGTGAACTGGGCCCCGTTCCACAAAGCAATCGTAGCACAAAGACAACCATAACTCCCATACTTTAACATAGACTTACGACAATCGTAGTACTACGATCGCTTTGTGGAACGGGACCCTGGACTCCAGTCAGTGGTGTTAAACAGCTTGCAGACATCCAGGGTTATCACCATTATTGATTTCTCTCAGAACTCGGTGAACTATGTTTTGTTTAACCTGTTCACATGACCAAGGAAAGAAATTTGTAGCAGGAAAGAAAGAAGATAGCAGGATATGGATGAAAGAATAACACAAATGAAATACATGCGGAAATAGAGGAGGGATTGAGTTATGACATGTCAGTTCAGAAGGGAAAATGCCCAAAGATGAGCAGAATCGTGCCGGAACTCTTCCAATGAAGGAAACAAAAAATGGAGTTTACATATTCCTGACAACCAGTGTTTTCAATTATTTTCAACAACTTAAAAACTTCTCAAACTGTCAAAACAGCATTGCTGGAAATTGCGCTGACTATAGGTTAAGAACCGACACAACGTGTATTTCTTTAAAGAGGCGGAACCCGGATTTGGACAAAAGGGGACATAACTCATGTCCCAAAGTGAACAAAAACACATGATGGAGGTACTGACTGACACAGGTGGACGGACACATGAGGTGTCTGAAGATGGGCGGCGCACCACCTCCCCCATGTCTGCCCATGGATCTTCCTGTGTTAGTTAATGAAATATTTATTACAAATTATTCCTATGCTTTGGTTGTTGATTGTTGGTGTATGATGAGCCACCTCTCTGTCTTTTCTTCCAGGCCGACAGACAGAGAGGTGGCCAGGTAGGCAACGCGGAGACGGGCAACAACGAGGAAAACACTGAGGAACTCACCGAGGAACAGCTCGATCTCATTTTACGATTCAATGACGCGATAGTCGACCTTCAGCACCGGCAGGCGCCCAGGGAGCAGGGTGGAGGCCAGAACAATTTACAAAATCCAATCCAAAAACTGGCTAGCAGTGTTCAACCACTTCCTCGAGGCGAAGATGTTCCTGATCATGACTCCCATGCTCCATCAGATGAAGACAACAATTCATGGGCATGATGCCAAGATGTCGTATCCAATATCTAGAAGGATGATATGTGTATTGCACTGATTTTGATGGATTTGAGTATTCATGGAATCAAGAGATGAACCATTTTCTGTGAAAATGATCAAGGTTTCAGATATGTTGGGCCAGACGACCCATTTTGTTACAAAGCGACTGTGCACTTGATTTTACCCCTGGCAATCTGAAACACTGTTTGTTAAAACAGTTCTTCATTACATGATTTGAAACTGTGTGAACAGCATCACCCTTTCTGTGAGGATGTGGTAGTGCCAAAAAGACAGACTCTGCATTTCTATCAAATTGTAATTTTGTTTATTCCTGGCAATTATACTTGACAGATGTGAATGTGAGAAATCTCTGATTTTGTAACAGTTTGCTTATATTTATTAGTGGTGCCTTGATGATGGTGTTGGTCATTCTGGTAAGAAACATCACACTTGTCATTTCTACTCACTGTTCCATTTGGAGATGGCACAAATGGCCAAGTTGCCAAATGCACCACAGTGTGTTATTCAGAGTTGTGTCCCTTGACATACCAGGAACCTATGATTGTGGATTTGAAAACCCTGATTAGGTTTATAGGTCTTCCTTATCATACCAATGTGGTTACCATCTGCTTTACTTCATGATTTTCTTGGGCAGTGGGGTAGCCCAGTGGTTAAAGCGCTTGCTCATCGTTCCGAAGGCCTGGGATTGGTTCCCCATATGGGTACAGTGTGTGATTCCCATTTCTGGTGTCCCCTGCCATGAAACTGATGGAATATTGTTAAAAGTGGCATGAAACGGTACTCACGCACTCACTCATGGTTTTCTTCCATATCAAGCTTACACACCATGATATATATGACTGAAGTACTGTTCACAGCAGTGAAAAACCATACTCACTCACTCACTCACTCAGTGTTCCATTTGGCTTGTGACCGCCTCAGTGGCCTAGTGGTAGAGCGTCCGCCCTTAGAGCAGAAGGTCCGGGGTTCGATCCCCGGCCGCGTCATACGAATAGACGTTAAAAGATGGTACTTGTTGTTATCCTGTCTCGCGCTCGGCATTAAGGGGCTAAAAGAAGGACTGGTCGGCACAGAGTCAGTATACTGTGTCTGAGTAGGGTATTCATGTTAAACTGCGGCATGGTATCTCAGTGAGCTAGCACTATAAATCGGCATCAGTCCGGACTAGTACAAGCAGCCACACAAACACACACACGTACATGCACGTCGCTATATAAGTGCAATAATCTTGGACGCGACGTTAAACCCCATGTCATATCACCTCACCATTTGGCTTGTTCTATCATCTACACTATGGCTATGCAGTGTTTGTGGTGACATTGCATGATTTCACTATGTTTTGTAATACTGATGCTGTCTTTGAATTCTGTGAAGATCAGGGTTAGAATTGCTTGTCGTTAGAGGCAACTAACCTGGGGTTCAAGTAAAACCATTTGGATACGATGACATGCATCAACCAAGTCAGCAAGGCTGACCACCCGATCCCGTTAGTCGCCTTTTACGACAAGCATGGGTTGCTGAAGACCTCTTCTACCCCGGATCTTCAAGAGTTGGATAATTGAGATGATTGATGGATGGGTGGAGAAAGGTACTTGAGTTTAGGTCAGGTTCTGAGACATGGGTAATGGAGTCCATTCTTTTCTTGCTTCTAGTCACTGACTGAAATGTGCATGGGAGATTTGTTGCCTTGATTAGTGTGCCATACATTGTTGTATTATGTTCTGGTGATTGCTGATGTCTGGCTATGCCCAGTGTGTTCGAATGTGGTGATGGAAACCAATAGTTTTGTGATTGTTAAAAGACAGAGATCTTATTGATGGTCTGTAATAATGAATGATTGCTCCATTGGGGGAATAACACTACTTATCATTAACCAGAATGAAGAGCTATTTGAAAACATGATCGAACATTACAGATGTATTATTGCATGAAAAGTATTTGTAAAATAGAAATTTTCACCAGTATATGCAAGAAGTCTCAACAGGCCACTGTTTCATTAAGTAGCTCAAATCTAGTATATGTTCTCTGTGATGATAGAATATCTCACAGTTTTTATGTATCACATCAGGGTATTTCTCCCAACAGTGTAAGTTTTGATATCGCAAAAAACATGCTATTGTTACATGACTGTACGACAAGTGGCGGCAGTTCAGTTCGGGGACTTATTTCGCAATGTAAACTTAGGTATTATTGAAGTATTAAGAGTCCAAACCCTATGATTATTCCAAGAGAACAGTTTCCCCTACCAGTATGATATTTGGGGTGACTATAAAGAAGAACGGAAGTCCCCAGGATGATTTGGGAGTCCTCGTCTGAATCTGATTCTGGATTAATCTACCAAAGTATCATATTGGGAATATCCATTACTATACACATAAGACCCAGTAACGATATGTTATTGTATTAATATGCAACTCAAAATATTGTGTTGACAATAAAATACATTCACAGATTGATTTTGTATTTCTTTGAATCTTTGTCAAGAGAATGTGTGTACTTCATTTTAAATTTGATTTCAATATAAATGAAGTACTGTGTTTCCAGACTGGGGGTAATTCCATTGGTCGGTAAAAGATCGTTAAAGGTTGTTCTGACGTGACCCGTAATGGGATGTCCGAGATCTTTGTTTAGCCGCAGCAAGAACTAACATCTGATTTTTTAATAAGATTGATTCGCATTTGAATGAGATTAACTCGCATTTTAGTGAGATTGATTTGCATTTTAATGAGATTGACTCACATTTTATTGAGATTGATTAACATTTTAATGAGATTGACTCACATTTTAAAGAGGGTGACTCATATTTTAATGAGATTGACTCACATTTTAATGAGATTGACTTACATTTTAAAGAGATTAACTCACATTTTAATGAGATTGACTCATTTTAATGAGATTGACTCACATTTTAATGAGATTAACTCACATTTTAATGAGATTGACTCATTTTAATGAGGTTGACTCATATTTTAATGAGATTGACTCACATTTTAATGAGATTGACTCATTTTAATGAGGTTGACTCATATTTTAATGAGATTGACTCACATTTTAATGAGATTGACTTACATTTTAATGAGATTAACTCACATTTTAATGAGATTGACTCATTTTAATGAGGTTGACTCATATTTTAATGAGATTGACTCACATTTTAATGAGATTGACTTACATTATAATGAGATTGACTTACATTTTAATGAGATTAACTCACATTTTAATGAGGTTGACTCATATTTTAATGAGATTGACTTACATTTTAATGAGATTAACTCACATTTTAATGAGATTGACTCATTTTAATGAGGTTGACTCATATTTTAATGAGATTGACTCACATTTTAATGAGACTGACTCGCATTTTAGTGAGATTGATTTGCATTTTAATGAGATTGACTCACATTTTAATGAGATTGACTTACATTTAAATGAGATTAACTCACATTTTAATGAGATTGACTCATTTTAATGAGGTTGACTCATATTTTAATGAGATTGACTCACATTTTAATGAGATTGACTTACATTTTAATGAGATTAACTCACATTTTAATGAGATTGACTCATTTTAATGAGATTGACTCACATTTTAATGAGATTGACTCACATTTTAATGAGATTGATCACACCACTGTGCTGCACTCAGGACAATGTGTGAAATAAGCACCTGCCCAGTAGCCTCTGGCTGGTTTCGTTACTTCCTGGTTCGTGAAAATATAGTGGAGGATGACATTTTAATGAGATTGATTCATTTTAATGAGATTGACTTACATTTTAATGAGATTAACTCACATTTAATGAGATTGACTCATTTTAATTAGGTTGACTCATATTTTAATGAGATTGACTCACATTTTAATGAGACTGACTTACATTTTAATGAGATTAACTCACATTTTAATGAGATTGACTCATTTTAATGAGATTGACTCACATTTTAATGAGATTGACTCACATTTTAATGAGATTGATCACACCACTGTGCTGCACTCAGGACAATGTGTGAAATAAGCACCTGCCCAGTAGCCTCTGGCTGGTTTCGTTACTTCCTGGTTCGTGAAAATATAGTGGAGGATGACTGGCTCGGGGTTCAGTCCCTGGCTGCATCACACCAAGGGACATTTAAAGATGGTACTTGTTGTTACCCTGCCTGGTGCTGGGCATTAAGGGGCTAAAACAAGGACTGGTCGGCTCGGAGTCAGTATACTGTGTCTGAGTGGGGTATTCATGTTAAACTGTGGCATGGTATCTCAGTGGGCTAGCACTATAAATCAGTATCAGTCCGGACTAGTTCAATCAGCCGCAGACACACAGACACAGTTACACACACAGACACACGACACACACACACAAGTGTGCATGTGCGTCACTATATAAGTGCAATAATCTTGGACGCCACGTTAAACCCCATTTCACCTCACCTGACTGGCTGACTTATTTCCTGTCTAGTCAGGTATAATATATAAACTACCTTCCCCTATCTCAAAAAGTGAAGGTGCACTTGAGAAATAAGACAGATTTCTAAAAACAATAATATTATAAGTTGTAGCAGGATCGTGGAGGTACATGGGGTTTATGCGTCAGGTTTTATGCCACAAGACGGATTGAAGTTCTAGCCTTGTTGAAACTTCAAGTAGATTTATTTTCTCTTTTACCAAATTTCTCCTTGTATTTAGTAGGGTAAAAACCCCTGGTGACTTAACTCTCCATTTGGCTATCGATAAAGCATCAAGCTGGACCGGGGGGCATGGGTGGCCCAGTCGTCTAAGGAACCGCTATTCGCTGTGCAGAGTTGTGTCCCTTGGGCATGCCAGAAACCTATGATTGTGTGGTTCGCCCGATTATGTTTCCAGGTTTGTCAGCACCATACTTTGCTCGTGGGTTTCGCTGAACTGGTAAACGTCTGAGACCTGCATCACTTCAGGCTTTCCTCCCCCATTAAAAGCGGTGTTAAACCCAACTCACTCACTCTAGCTTGACCGGATGGCTGGTGATGTTGACAAATTATTTCACACACTGGCTCAGGACAGTTTGGCTTTATCCATCATGAATACTTTCTTTATGTGTGAATACACACATCCACTATGCAGTGTAATAGAGATACATGTCTATTTTCAATGTGTCAATGAAAAGAGACTGTGTTTAACTCAAGGGAGTCAAATCAGCCCAACTCCTTGCACTGCTACAAACTGACATGGTTTCATTATTTCTGTTACAGGCTGATGAGTTTAACAGGCAACAACAGAGACAGAAAAGTACAGAAAACTTTAACCAGCTACTTGAACTCGAAAACCGAGACCTTGTCCCCAATACTGACGAGTTTGACTGTCCGGTATGCTTTGATACGATTTTGCCGGGAGAGGGCGTGGTCCTCAGGGAGTGTCTACATGTGTTCTGTCAGTAAGTAGCAGTATCTGTGTCTAATTGTGTCTGTACGTAAAAAGTAAACTGCCTGTGTCAGCAAGTAAACAGTAAACTTGTTGTACCAACACATAGTAGTTCTGTCTGTAGTAAACCCTTCAGTCGGCCAAGATAAAATCTGTCTACATATATGCGACATATTTCCATGTAAGTATGTGTATGTATTCAGTAAGTATGTGTTCCTATGTGGACAGAGACTGCCTGATGAATGCTGTGAGATATTTCCATGTAAGTATGTGTATGTGTTCAGTAAGTGTTCCTATGTGGACAGAGACTGCCTGATGAACGCTGTGAGATATTTCTATGTTAGTATGTGTATGTATTCAGTAAGTAAGTGTTCCTATGTGGACAGAGACTGCCTGATGAACGCTGTGAGATATTTCCATGTAAGTATGTGTATGTGTTCAGTAAGTGTTCCTATGTGGACAGAGACTGCCTGATGAACGCTGTGAGATATTTCCATGTAAGTATGTGTATGTATTCAGTAAGTAAGTGTTCCTATGTGGACAGAGATTGCCTGATGAACGCTGTGAGATATTTCCATGTAAGTATGTGTATGTATTCAGTAAGTAAGTGTTCCTATGTGGACAGAAACTGCCTGATGAACGCTGTGAGATATTTCCATGTTAGTATGTGTATGTATTCAGTAAGTAAGTGTTCCTATGTGGACAGAAACTGCCTGATGAACGCTGTGAGATATTTCCATGTAAGTATGTGTATGTATTCAGTAAGTGTTCCTATGTGGACAGAGACTGCCAGATGAACGCTGTGAGATATTTCCATGTAAGTATGTGTATGTATTCAGTAAGTAAGTGTTCCTATGTGGACAGAGACTGCCAGATGAACGCTGTGAGATATTTCCATGTAAGTATGTGTATGTATTCAGTAAGTAAGTGTTCCTATGTGGACAGAGACTGCCTGATGAATGCTGTGAGATATTTCCATGTAAGTATGTGTATGTGTTCAGTAAGTGTTCCTATGTGGACAGAGATTGCCAGATGAACGCTGTGAGATATTTCCATGTAAGTATGTGTATGTATTCAGTAAGTAAGTGTTCCTATGTGGACAGAGACTGCCAGATGAACGCTGTGAGATATTTCCATGTAAGTATGTGTATGTATTCAGTAAGTAAGTGTTCCTATGTGGACAGAGACTGCCTGATGAACGCTGTGAGATATTTCCATGTTAGTATGTGGATGTATTCACTAAGTAAGTGTTCCTATGTGGACAGAGACTGCCAGATGAACGCTGTGAGATATTTCCATGTAAGTATGTGTATGTATTCAGTAAGTAAGTGTTCCTATGTGGACAGAGACTGCCTGATGAACGCTGTGAGATATTTCCATGTAAGTATGTGTATGTGTTCAGTAAGTGTTCCTATGTGGACAGAGACTGCCTGATGAACGCTGTGAGATATTTCCATGTAAGTATGTGTATGTATTCAGTAAGTAAGTGTTCCTATGTGGACAGAGACTGCCTGATGAACGCTGTGAGATATTTCCATGTTAGTATGTGTATGTGTTCAGTAAGTGAATGTTCCTATGTGGACAGAGATGGCCTGATGAACGCTGTGAGATATTTCCATGTAAGTATGTGTATGTATTCAGTAAGTAAGTGTTCCTATGTGGACAGAGATTGCCTGATGAACGCTGTGAGATATTTCCATGTTAGTATGTGTATGTGTTCAGTAAGTGTTCCTATGTGGACAGAGATTGCCTGATGAACGCTGTGAGATATTTCCATGTTAGTATGTGTATGTGTTCAGTAAGTAAATGTTCCTATGTGGACAGAGACTGCCTGATGAACGCTGTGAGATATTTCCATGTTAGTTTGTGTATGTATTCAGTAAGTAAGTGTTCCTATGTGGACAGAGATTGCCTGATGAACGCTGTGAGATATTTCCATGTAAGTATGTGTATGTATTCAGTAAGTGTTCCTATGTGGACAGAGACTGCCAGATGAACGCTGTGAGATATTTCCATGTAAGTATGTGTATGTATTCAGTAAGTAAGTGTTCCTATGTGGACAGAGACTGCCTGATGAACGCTGTGAGATATTTCCATGTAAGTATGTGTATGTATTCAGTAAGTAAGTGTTCCTATGTGGACAGAGACTGCCTGATGAACGCTGTGAGATATTTCCATGTTAGTATGTGTATGTATTCAGTAAGTGAGTGTTCCTATGTGGACAGAGACTGCCTGATGAACGCTGTGAGATATTTCCATGTTAGTATATGTATGTATTCAGTAAGTAAGTGTTCCTATGTGGACAGAGACTGCCTGATGAACGCTGTGAGATATTTCTATGTAAGTATGTGTATGTATTCAGTAAGTGTTCCTATGTGGACTGAGATTGCCTGATGAACGCTGTGAGATATTTCCATGTTAGTATGTGTATGTGTTCAGTAAGTAAGTGTTCCTATGTGGACAGAGACTGCCTGATGAACGCTGTGAGATATTTCTATGTAAGTATGTGTATGTGTTCAGTAAGTAAGTGTTCCTATGTGGACAGAGACTGCCTGATGAAAGCTGTGAGATATTTCCATGTAAGTATGTGTATGTGTTCAGTAAGTAAGTGTTCCTATGTGGACAGAGACTGCCTGATGAACGCTGTGAGATATTTCCATGTTAGTATGTGTATGTATTCAGTAAGTAAGTGTTCCTATGTGGACAGAGACTGCCTGATGAACGCTGTGAGATATTTCCATGTAAGTACGTGTATGTATTCAGTAAGTGTTCCTATGTGGACAGAGATTGCCTGATGAACGCTGTGAGATATTTCCATGTAAGTATGTGTATGTATTCAGTAAGTAAGTGTTCCTATGTGGACAGAGACTGCCTGATGAACGCTGTGAGATATTTCCATGTAAGTATGTGTATGTGTTCAGTAAGTGTTCCTATGTGGACAGAGACTGCCTGATGAACGCTGTGAGATATTTCCATGTAAGTATGTGTATGTATTCAGTAAGTAAGTGTTCCTATGTGGACAGAGACTGCCTGATGAACGCTGTGAGATATTTCCATGTTAGTATGTGTATGTGTTCAGTAAGTGAATGTTCCTATGTGGACAGATATGGCCTGATGAACGCTGTGAGATATTTCCATGTAAGTATGTGTATGTATTCAGTAAGTAAGTGTTCCTATGTGGACAGAGATTGCCTGATGAACGCTGTGAGATATTTCCATGTTAGTATGTGTATGTGTTCAGTAAGTGTTCCTATGTGGACAGAGATTGCCTGATGAACGCTGTGAGATATTTCCATGTTAGTATGTGTATGTGTTCAGTAAATGTTCCTATGTGGACAGAGACTGCCTGATGAACGCTGTGAGATATTTCCATGTTAGTTTGTGTATGTATTCAGTAAGTGTTCCTATGTGGACAGAGATTGCCTGATGAACGCTGTGAGATATTTCCATGTAAGTACGTGTATGTATTCAGTAAGTGTTCCTATGTGGACAGAGATTGCCTGATGAACGCTGTGAGATATTTCCATGTTAGTATGTGTATGTATTCAGTAAGTAAGTGTTCCTATGTGGACAGAGACTGCCTGATGAACGCTGTGAGATATTTCCATGTAAGTATGTGTATGTATTCAGTAAGTGTTCCTATGTGGACAGAGATTGCCTGATGAACGCTGTGAGATATTTCCATGTTAGTATGTGTATGTGTTCAGTAAGTGTTCCTATGTGGACAGAGACTGCCTGATGAACGCTGTGAGATATTTCCATGTAAGTACGTGTATGTATTCAGTAAGTGTTCCTATGTGGACAGAGATTGCCTGATGAACGCTGTGAGATATTTCCATGTTAGTATGTGTATGTATTCAGTAAGTAAGTGTTCCTATGTGGACAGAGACTGCCTGATGAACGCTGTGAGATATTTCCATGTTAGTATGTGTATGTGTTCAGTAAGTGTTCCTATGTGGACAGAGACTGCCTGATGAACGCTGTGAGATATTTCCATGTTAGTATGTGTATGTATTCAGTAAGTAAGTGTTCCTATGTGGACAGAGATTGCCTGATGAACGCTGTGAGATATTTCTATGTAAGTACATGTATGTATTCAGTAAGTGTTCCTATGTGGACAGAGACTGCCTGATGAACGCTGTGAGATATTTCCATGTTAGTTTGTGTATGTATTCAGTAAGTAAGTGTTCCTATGTGGACAGAGACTGCCTGATGAACGCTGTGAGATATTTCCATGTTAGTATGTGTATGTGTTCAGTAAGTGTTCCTATGTGGACAGAGATTGCCTGATGAACGCTGTGAGATATTTCCATGTTAGTATATGTATGTATTCAGTAAGTAAGTGTTCCTATGTGGACAGAGACTGCCTGATGAACGCTGTGAGATATTTCCATGTAAGTATGTGTATGTATTCAGTAAGTAAGTGTTCCTATGTGGACAGAGACTGCCTGATGAACGCTGTGAGATATTTCCATGTAAGTATGTGTATGTATTCAGTAAGTAAGTGTTCCTATGTGGACAGAGACTGCCTGATGAACGCTGTGAGATATTTCCATGTAAGTATGTGTATGTATTCAGTAAGTAAGTGTTCCTATGTGGACAGAGACTGCCTGATGAACGCTGTGAGATATTTCCATGTAAGTATGTGTATGTATTCAGTAAGTAAGTGTTCCTATGTGGACAGAGACTGCCTGATGAACGCTGTGAGATATTTCCATGTAAGTATGTGTATGTATTCAGTAAGTAAGTGTTCCTATGTGGACAGAGACTGCCTGATGAACGCTGTGAGATATTTCCATGTAAGTATGTGTATGTATTCAGTAAGTAAGTGTTCCTATGTGGACAGAGACTGCCTGATGAACGCTGTGAGATATTTCCATGTAAGTATGTGTATGTATTCAGTAAGTAAGTGTTCCTATGTGGACAGAGACTGCCTGATGAACGCTGTGAGATATTTCCATGTAAGTATGTGTATGTATTCAGTAAGTAAGTGTTCCTATGTGGACAGAGACTGCCTGATGAACGCTGTGAGATATTTCCATGTAAGTATGTGTATGTATTCAGTAAGTAAGTGTTCCTATGTGGACAGAGACTGCCTGATGAACGCTGTGAGATATTTCCATGTTAGTATGTGTATGTATTCAGTAAGTATGTGTTCCTACGTGGACAGAGACTGCCTGATGAACGCTGTGAGATATTTCCATGTTAGTATGTGTATGTGTTCAGTAAGTGTTCCTATGTGGACAGAGATTGCCTGATGAACGCTGTGAGATATTTCCATGTAAGTATGTGTATGTATTCAGTAAGTAAGTGTTCCTATGTGGACAGAGACTGCCTGATGAACGCTGTGAGATATTTCCATGTAAGTATGTGTATGTGTTCAGTAAGTGTTCCTATGTGGACAGAGACTGCCTGATGAACGCTGTGAGATATTTTCATGTAAGTACGTGTATGTATTCAGTAAGTGTTCCTATGTGGACAGAGATTGCCTGATGAACGCTGTGAGATATTTCCATGTTAGTATGTGTATGTATTCAGTAAGTAAGTGTTCCTATGTGGACAGAGACTGCCTGATGAACGCTGTGAGATATTTCCATGTAAGTATGTGTATGTATTCAGTAAGTAAGTGTTCCTATGTGGACAGAGACTGCCTGATGAACGCTGTGAGATATTTCCATGTAAGTATGTGTATGTATTCAGTAAGTAAGTGTTCCTATGTGGACAGAGACTGCCTGATGAATGCTGTGAGATATTTCCATGTAAGTATGTGTATGTATTCAGTAAGTAAGTGTTCCTATGTGGACAGAGATTGCCTGATGAACGCTGTGAGATATTTCCATGTAAGTATGTGTATGTATTCAGTAAGTGAGTGTTCCTATGTGGACAGAGATTGCCTGATGAACGCTGTGAGATATTTCCATGTAAGTATGTGTATGTGTTCAGTAAGTGTTCCTATGTGGACAGAGACTGCCTGATGAACGCTGTGAGATATTTCCATGTAAGTATGTGTATGTATTCAGTAAGTAAGTGTTCCTATGTGGACAGAGACTGCCTGATGAACGCTGTGAGATATTTCCATGTTAGTTTGTGTATGTATTCAGTAAGTAAGTGTTCCTATGTGGACAGAGATTGCCTGATGAACGCTGTGAGATATTTCCATGTAAGTATGTGTATGTATTCAGTAAGTAAGTGTTCCTATGTGGACAGAGACTGCCTGATGAACGCTGTGAGATATTTCCATGTAAGTATGTGTATGTATTCAGTAAGTAAGTGTTCCTATGTGGACAGAGACTGCCTGATGAACGCTGTGAGATATTTCCATGTAAGTATGTGTATGTATTCAGTAAGTAAGTGTTCCTATGTGGACAGAGACTGCCTGATGAACGCTGTGAGATATTTCCATGTTAGTATGTGTATGTATTCAGTAAGTAAGTGTTCCTATGTGGACAGAGATTGCCTGATGAACGCTGTGAGATATTTCCATGTAAGTATGTGTATGTATTCAGTAAGTAAGTGTTCCTATGTGGACAGAGACTGCCTGATGAACGCTGTGAGATATTTCCATGTTAGTTTGTGTATGTATTCAGTAAGTAAGTGTTCCTATGTGGACAGAGATTGCCTGATGAACGCTGTGAGATATTTCCATGTAAGTATGTGTATGTATTCAGTAAGTAAGTGTTCCTATGTGGACAGAGACTGCCTGATGAACGCTGTGAGATATTTCCATGTAAGTATGTGTATGTATTCAGTAAGTAAGTGTTCCTATGTGGACAGAGACTGCCTGATGAACGCTGTGAGATATTTCCATGTAAGTATGTGTATGTATTCAGTAAGTGTTCCTATGTGGACAGAGATTGCCTGATGAACGCTGTGAGATATTTCCATGTAAGTATGTGTATGTATTCAATAAGTAAGTGTTCCTATGTGGACAGAGACTGCCTGATGAACGCTGTGAGATATTTCCATGTAAGTATGTGTATGTATTCAGTAAGTATGTGTTCCTATGTGGACAGAAACTGCCTGATGAACGCTGTGAGATATTTCCATGTTAGTATTTATATGTATTCAGTAAGTATGTGTTCCTACGTGGACAGAGACTGCCTGATGAACGCTGTGCGCACGACGGAGGAGGCAAGTCTCAAGTGCCCGTTCCAGGATGACCTGTACACCTGTGAGGCCATGCTGCAGGACCGAGAAGTCCGAGCGGTCAGTGACACGACAGATTATATTGGGAATGTGAAAAGATTTCAGTATGTCAGTATCAATAAATTGCAAGTGATTCCATGTCACTTGATTGGCAAACCAACCAATAATTTGTGTGAATATGCTTCCATAAACTGTGTTAAAATAGGCCATGTCCACCATCGGATTACTTGAATGGCTGATAAGAGGGTGGGCGGGCTTTTGTTGTGCTTAATGAAGTCACTGATTTCGTATCGTCTCCATTTTTGTGTGTTGCGGATTAAATCAGCAGTCTGTGAAGTTATTATTTTGTTGAAGTATTTATTTATAAAAACTGCCTCATTATTTGTTTGGCCTATATGGAGTTATACTGTAAAAAGTGGCGTGCAAGTCAATTCTAAAATATGAAGGAAATGATTTATTTTGGATTTGTGTAATTTTAAAGGTGTGGATGAATGAACACGATTTTTGCAGTGCAATACCTTTGTTTGGTAGCTGACCTGACTGAAAGTCAAGTGGGTGAATGTGGCAAGGTTATCATTTGTATGGCAGACATTTTTGACATCTCCTCTAAACATTTTTAAACTACAAGGTCTTTGAAGCTGAATCTATGCATGTATCACACTGTACCATGTACCACACTGTGCCATGTATGACACTCTTCCATGTACCACACTGTACTATGTACCACACTGTACCATGTACCACACTGTACCATGCATCACACTGTACCATGCATCACACTGTACCATGTATCACACTGTACCATGTACCACACTGTACCATGTATCACACTGTACCATGTACCACACTGTACCATGTTCCACACTGTACCATGTATCACACTCTTCCATGTACCACACTGTACCATGTATCACACTCTTCTATGTATCACACTGTACCATGTACCACACTGTACCATGTATGACACTCTTCAATGTACCGGGGCGGTCGGGTAGCCTAATGGTTAAAGCGTTCGCTCGTCACGCCGAAGACCCGGGTTCGTTTCCCGACATGGGTACAATGTGTGAAGCCCATTTCTGGTGTCCCCCGCCGTGATATTGCTAAAAGCGGCGTAAAACCATACTCACTCACTCTTCCATGTACCACACTGTACCAGGTACCACACTGACTAGGTACCACACTGTACCATGTATCACACTGTACACTGTACCATGCATCACACTGTACACTGTACCATGCATCACACTGTACCATGTCCCACACTGTACCATGTATCACACTGTACCACTCTTCCATGTATCACACTGTACCATGTACCACACTGTACCATGTATCCCACTGTACCATGTTTCACACTGTACCATGTACCACACTGTACCATGTATCACACTGTACCATGCACCACTCTGCCATGTATCCTGCTGTACCATGTACCACACTGTACCATGTACCACACTGTACATTGTACCATGTATCACACTGCACCATGTATCACACTGTACCATGTATCATGTACCACACTGTACACTGTACCATGCATCACACTGTACCATGTATCACACCGTACCATGTATCACACCCTTCCATGTATCACACTGTACCATGTATCACACCGTACCATGTATCACACCCTTCCATGTATCACACTGTACCATGTATCACACCGTACCATGTATCACACCCTTCCATGTATCACACTGTACCATGTATCACACCGTACCATGTACCACACCCTTCCATGTATCACACTGTACCATGTATCACACTGTACCATGTATCACACCCTTCCATGTATCACACTGTACCATGTATCACACCGTACCATGTACCACACCCTTCCATGTATCACACTTTACCATGTATCACACCCTTCCATGTATCACACTGTACCATGTATCACACCCTTCCATGTATCACACTGTACCATGTAGCACACTGTACCATGTACCACACCCTTCCATGTATCACACCGTACCATGTATCACACCCTTCCATGTATCACACTGTACCATGTACCACACCCTTCCATGTATCACACTGTACCATGTATCACACCGTACCATGTATCACACCCTTCGATGTATCACACTGTACCATGTATCACACCCTTCAATGTATCACACTGTACCATGTACCACGCCCTTCCATGTATCACACTGTACCATGTATCACACTGTACCATGTATCACACCCTTCCATGTATCACACTGTACCATGTATCACACCGTACCATGTACCACACCCTTCCATGTATCACACTGTACCATGTATCACACCCTTCCATGTATCACACTGTACCATGTATCACACCGTACCATGTACCACACCCTTCCATGTATCACACTGTACCATGTATCACACCCTTCCATGTATCACACTGTACCATGTACCACACCCTTCCATGTATCACACTGTACCATGTATCACACCGTACCATGTATCACACCCTTCCATGTATCACACTGTACCATGTATCACACTGTACCATGTATCACACCCTTCCATGTATCACACTGTACCATGTACCACACTGTACCATGTATCACACTGTTCCATGAATCACACTGTACCATGTACCACACTATACACTGTACCATGTATCATACTGTACCATGTACCACACTCTTCCATGTATCACACTGTACCATGTACCACACTCTTCCATGTATCACACTGTACCATGTACCACTACTTGCAGCTGGTGAGTGACGAGATCTATGCCCGCTTCCTGCAGCGTAGCCTGGATACAGCGGAGAGCCAGGCTAGCAACAGCTACCACTGCAAGACGCCCGACTGCCACGGATGGTGCATTTACGAGGACCTCGTCAACTTCTTTGCATGTCCTGTGTGTAAGAAGGAGAACTGTCTCACCTGCAAGGCCATCCATGAGGACATGAACTGCCGCGAGTACCAGGAAGACCTCAAGCGGAGATCCTCCAATGACAAGGCAGCGCAGCAGACGCAGAAGATGCTTGAAGTAAGAATCAGTGACCGGTGCAGCTGAACTTGTGGCATCGGCCCCAGGCAAGGGAGTTAGCTAACTACAAAAGTCCAGTTTCCACCTTGTCAAACTAGGCTGGAATTTCTGGGCTTGGTCGTAGCGCCACCAGTGGTTATTACGAGTTATGTCCTTTTTATACCACTCAGATTCCACCTCTCATATCACTTACATTTGCCTCAAACAAAATGGTGGTGCCAAGTCAAGACGATCTGATTGATAATCAAGATTTATTTATAGAACGGGTCTTACCGTACTTGACGAAATGCATCAAATCATGTGAGCACCTTGATTACAAACATGAAATCATTTGAAAACTATCTGTTGACGCCGAGTAGGCGGTACACATGCTCTGCAAATCCTACAAGCAACCGAAATCAGTATCAGTTTACGAACCGGATGTTGTTTGGTTTGACTATGCAAAAATAGCCAAAACAAAAATGACTCCATAATGCCAGCCTAAATTGGCAAGGGTGGTAACTGGACTTTTATAGTCAGTTAACACTCTAGCCTCAGGAAGATGTATTAGAGGGTGAGTGGGTTGCTTTACGCTGATGTTGGAAATATTAGCAGCCATGACCACACAAACCAGCTACAAGTTTCTTCCAAGTGTGGGACCCCTTTGTTACACTCTCCGTAACATCGCTGCCACCAGTGTGGATGCAACCTTTACTAGAATGTTGAAATTTGACCTCTAACCCCAAGAGCGTAGTTTTAACTTTTTTTGACACGGGGGGGGGGGCAAATATTTGTACAAGTATCAAGTTCAATTTAACTTTCACAAGGTAAAATGATTTCTACAAAAAATCCAGGGGGGGGGGGCGGCAACTGCACCCCCTGCCCCCCGGCTGGCTACGGCACTGAACCCCAAAGGCAGTTGATTTTGATTTTTGTGTATGATATTCAAAATGACAAAGAAATAGATAAGCGGAGGGAAGCGTATTCGGCATCACAACAGTCATCACTTGTTTGTAAACGCAACGGTCAGTCGGTCCTTTATTGCTTAAGTGCTGTGATTGTATAGTTGCAACAGAATCTGAACCGTCATTAAGGCATAAGGTTGACACTCCTCTAGACGTATGGATAACTGCATATATGCGTCATGGCCAACCTGGGACTTTCACTGGATCGTGACAGTAAACTGAAAACAAAATATTTTTATACGAACAATCTACGTACGCCATGATCTTCCTTACAGAGACTGGTGACAGAAGGGGAGGCTATGCCATGTCCACAGTGCAAAGTGATTGTCCAGAAAAAGGACGGATGTGACTGGATCAAGTGCTCCATCTGCAAAACAGAGATATGTTGGGTGACCAAAGGCCCTCGGTGGGGCCCAAAGGTGGGTGTTATACCTAGAGTTAGGCCTCTGCAAGACAGAGGTCGCTTGGGCCACAAAAGGCCCTTGGTGGGTAAGGCCTCTGCAAAACAGAGATATGTTGGGTCACAAAAGGCCCTCGGTGGGGCCCAAAGGTGGGTGTTATACCTAGATTATAAACCTATTCATTGGGATCTCTATTAAGTAAGAGAGTTCTTTCTATAGGCATTAAAACCTATTGTGAGGTTTTACTTTCAAAGTAAAACCTATTATGAGGTTTTATTTTCGTTCTGGAGGTTTTACTTTGAATGTAAAACCTCAAATCCCAGGTTTAACCAAGTAACTGAAAAAATGACTACAAATAGCAATTCAAAATTTTAATTCAATTAAAATTGAATGTCATGTGTACAGTGAATGAAGACTGGGTAATAAAATGAAAGTCGTCGTCGCTCATCTTTCCACTTCAGAGTCTCTGGTGAAAGGACAGCGAGGTTTCAAAACACGTGCTTTTAAAACAAGTGCTTATCAATGCTGCACAATTTGCACGTGAAGTAACTGCTAGCTGTTTCGTCACAACTACCTCTGTGTAACATTTGGATTATTTAAAGTCGTAAATCTTGTAAAGCAAAAGACACCTTTTAAACTTGCGAATTTTCGTTTTGAAAAGTTTAAAAGAAGTGGAATATTGCAACAGAAACATTTAGAGACCGAAGATTTCACTTTCATTTAAAAGTAAGTATTTTAGTTGTGTTTTGTTGTTGACACATCCAAGTGCTCTTGACCGCCTGGCAAGTCAGCGAATTTCACGTGCAAGTTATGATAGGAAGCGCTATAATGAAGCGCCTCATTTATAGATGCTCGTAATAACATTTAATCAATTTAGACGGTTTATAAGTATGGAAAGACACTTTCCCTTGGTTTTGGTAGACAGAGCATGCCCTGGGGAGAGGGAAAAACCAAGGGGGCGAAGGTTGGTTGGGTCTCACAAGGCCCTCGGCGGGGTCCAAAGGTGGGTGTTATACCTAGAGTAAGGCCTCTGCAAAACAGAGATATGTTGGGTCACAAAAGGCCCTTGGTGGGGCCCAAAGGTGGGTGTTATACCTAGAGTAAGGCCTCTGCTGGACAGAGGTCGGTTGGGTGACAAAAGGCCCTCGGTGGGGCCCAAAGTTGGGTGTTATACCTAGAGTAAGGCCTCTGCTAGACAGAGGTCGGTTGGGTGACAAAAGGCCCTCGGTGGGGCCCAAAGTTGAGTGTTATACCTAGAGTAAGGCCTCTGCTAGACAGAGGTCGGTTGGGTGACAAAAGGCCCTTGGTGGGGCCCAAAGTTGGGTGTTATACCTAGAGTAACGCCTCTGCTAGACAGAGGTCGGTTGGGTGACAAAAGGCCCTTGGTGGGGCCCAAAGTTGGGTGTTATACCTAGAGTAAGGCCTCTGCTAGACAGAGGTCGGTTGGGTGACAAAAGGCCCTCGGTGGGGCCCAAAGTTGGGTGTTATACCTAGAGTAAGGCCTCTGCTAGACAGAGGTCGGTTGGGTGACAAAAGGCCCTTGGTGGGGCCCAAAGTTGGGTGTTATACCTAGAGTAAGGCCTCTGCTAGACAGAGGTCGGTTGGGTCACGAAAGGTCCTCAGAAGGGCTCAAAGGTGGGTGTTATACCTAGAGTAAGGCCTCTGCAAGACAGAGGTCGGTTGGGTCACGAAAGGTCCTCAGAAGGGCTCAAAGGTGGGTGTTATACCTAGTAAAGCCTCTACAAGACAGAGATAGAGATTCTTCATCGATATTGCTTGTATATTGCTGGATCAATATAACATGTCACTCATCAACTCCCAATTTTCTATGTCATTTCAGGGTGAAGGAGACATTACCGGTGGCTGTGGTTGTCGTGTCAATGGTGCCAAGTGTGATCCACAATGTAACAACTGTCACTGATGGGATGTCAAATAATGGTCATTGCTCACTTTGACCTCAGCGCCAGGTCCTTTGAACTCTAAAAGTGTCTCAACTATCCCAGATGGAACTGAGGCATCTTAGTTGACCGAAAGTCAGGATAAAGGAGAAGAATGCAGTGAAGAGGTTGTGAGGATCATTTGTATCTGGTTGAAGAGTTTTTGTGTATTTGGGGCCACATTCAGGGCAATAGTTGGATTCTGTTTTCTGCAACAGATCAGGGAATATTACTCTATTTTCCAGTACTCAGAGGAATGGTGACAACATATAGGCTAACTATAAATAATAAGAAGGCACTGGATATGATAAAGGCCTTTTTGGCCCACGGTTTGGAAATAGAAAAATGTTAAAATATCTTTTGGAAGGTAGTAGACATTGCGAGATGCTCATTTTTGATGTTTTGGAAAGAACAAATAATTCAGTCCTCAATCCTATGAACAATTCTGAGTGATAACATATTAAAATCCCCATTTAAAAGTTTGGCAAATGTAGTTGGCCAAAAGGGGCCCTTTTTAGACCTTGTCCTCTCAACTCACCCAAAGGATACTGACAACATGGCTAAGATTCCTTTAAGTGAGTACCACATCTTCTCCCTGTGAGATAAGTATTATTAACCATGAGATGTGTACATATAAGTCCTACTGATGTAATTACATGTGGCCACAGCTAGGGACCTTTTACCTGCTAAAATCATGGATAGGTAACAGAAATATTCAGCCTGGAGATCCTCATTGATCAGAAATACAGGGCTGGTATTTCTTTCAGGGATCATTGACCCCTTGAATCTGAAACAATTGTGAACAAAACTTTTGTTCATGCTGATCTTTGTGGTGAGAGTTATGGTAACTAGAGTTATCTTCCCTAAAACAGGGGCCAGGAACATAAGTTTATGAGTGAGTTGGTTTGAGAAGTATTGAGTTATATATCACGTTGTGTGGAAACTCCGAAATGACGGTTACCACTTTGGTGATGTCCACAAGCACTGGTGTGGTGCCGACAAACCTAGAAACAATCAGGACAAACCGGGATTCAAAACCATAGCTTTCTGGCGTGCCTGAGGGATGACTGGGCCACCCCTGCCCCCCAGATCATTGTATGAATCCTTTTGATTTAATAAAGCACTTTGTGATGAAAACAACTGATAACCTTGATTGAAGTGCACATTATGATCGGCTTCATCAATTACAGCATGAAGTCACTTTTATCCATCATGCGTGTGCTTCATGTTAATGTGTATTTGTGAAATTGATATTTGTGAAATTAAATGAACTTGGCCATTAAATTCAACAACTACATTCATGACTTTAATAATATCATAAAGAGGACTTTGATATTTAGCCAAGACCTTACCCATTGACTATATGTTATACATAAATATGTTATATGTACAATACATGGTGCAGTCAACTGATACTGGCGTCTGCTTGTCTTGTGTGTGTACAAGGCAAAAGGCTTTTGATACTTTAAAGATATCTATAAAGACATGAGATTGAGTGACAAAAAGCCACTAAACTCAGGAATTCAACATTTTCAGTTTTTGTTTGGGTTGGGAGTATGTCTCAAACCACTTACATAGCGACGTGCATGCATGTGTGTGTGGCTGCGTGTACTGGTCCTGACTAGTGCAGAATTAGTCCCACTGAGATACCATGCTGCAGTTTAACATGAATACCCCACTCAGTCTCCAATACTCCAAGCCGACCAGTTCTTGTTTTAGCCCCTAAATGCTGACTGCCAGGCAGGGTAACAACAAATACCATATTCAAACATCTTTTGGTATGATGTAGTCGGGGACTGAACCCCGCACCTTCAGCTCTCCGGGTGGACCACGAAGGAGGTCTCCCTTATCATCAGACTTAGAGAAGACTATGTATTTATATAAGGGGTGGGGTGTGTCTGATCAATAGAGGGATACTTCTATTAGGGGGAGGGAATAATCAATCAATTACATTGAAACACACATTTAGGTTACCAAACAGGCAATACAAAGGCTCAAACAAGGGGCAGCAGCAGTAAGTAACAGGCCCAAGAATTAACGAAGGGGCACTCACCAATGTCCAGAATGTTGTCACAGCTCAATGTCCGTTGCTGAATCAAGGTTAGTGTTGGAAGCTCTCAGGAATTCTGGGTTTACAAACAATCTGCTCTTCGGTACATATGAAATAAGTCAGGTTAAAAACGGCCCTCTTTTAAAGGTACAGCCAGTCTTCTACAACCTGTCCCACCCTGAAACTTCTCGAATGATCAAGCCTGCCATTTTCATCAACCAGGGGCAGATAACTCTAATCAATCACTGCCGCCAACAGCAATCGACAGTTTACTAGCGCTTCAATCATTTGCTGCCACTAACAATTACTGAAAGATAAATTTAAAGCTGTTTTTACTGCCATACAACAAAATGTTTTGTCTTCCATTTACAAGCCAGGAAATGAAATGGATCATTATGAAGGCACAACAATATTATCATTCTTGATGTGATAAACATTTCGGAATAAAATGATGGGTGGGCAGTGTTACTGGAAACAGCATTTCTTGGTTGCTGTTGACTAATTGGAAAAAGACAGACATAAAATTGTAACTGTTGTTTAACTTTCGCGTTCAGTGTGTGAGTTATTATTCCATGTCGAGCCTGTCAGGAGGATCCGAAACCCATCTCTAACACCATTGCTGAAGGTGATTTGTTTTTTTTGTTTAACGCCGCACTCAGCAATATTCCAGCTATATGACGGCGGTCTGTAAATAATCGAGTCTGGACCAGACAATCCAGTGATTGACATCATGAGCATCGATCCACCCATTGGGATCGATGTCATGCATCAACCATGTCAGCAAGTCTGATCCCCCCGATCCTGTTAGTTGCCTCTTTACGGCAAGCATGGGTTGCTGAAGACCTATTCTACCCTGGAACTTCATGGGTGCATTGAGGACAACCCTGAACTATTAGTCTAAACACAGGACGTACCAGTAGTATTGGCAGTTAGCCGACATACGATGTATTAGTCTGAACATACGATGTACCTCTTCATTTTAGCTGTTTTACAATAGAAGAATCATTTCATTATCCTTATCAGGATTATTATTATATTGTGCCTTATTAATTTATTGTGTTTATATATTCCAACCATATTTTTAAATAAACATTGTTGATATTTGTTTTGCATTTTCTTAGTTTACCTTAGTTTTCTTTAGTTTACACATTCCTGGAAAATTCCAAATCGACAGGCAGATAGATATTTTCAGAAAGGTTTTTCAGTTTCAGGTAGACCTGCACCTCTTCGGGCTTTCCTCCCACATTAAGCTGACACGCCGCGATATAACTGGAATACTGTTAAAGGCGGCGTCAATCTCATTAAAATCAGATCTTAGTTCTCGCTACCGCTAAACAAGTAGCGAGAACTAAGATCTGATTTTAATGAGATTGAGGCGGCGTTAAACCCAACTCACTCACTCAGTTTCAGGTAAGAGACTGAAGCTGCTTTTAACAGTATTTCGGTTTTATTGCGATGTCTCTGTATATTTTTGGAGGAAATCCCAAAGTGGTTCAGGTCTCCGAAATTTATCACTTACTCAAATCAACAAGCATGGGTACGGTACCGACAAACATTGCTGCATACTCAGGGAAACCGGAATTTGAACCCACAATCATAGGTTCCTGTCATGTCATGTCTGCACAGTTAATTGTGGTACCTTAGACAACTCAATATATTTGGAGATGTACCATTATAATTTAATTTCCTCACTAAAGTGATTATGTATTTTCCAACAGATAGGATAGCACTATTGAAAGATTACATGCCCAGTGTCCTGTTTAAAAATTCATGACTGTAAAACTGGAGCAATAGCAGGCGGCAAATTTGAATACTGTCTGGCTGTATGTAAAGATACCTCTGGCCTTCAACAATACAGAGGCATGAAACAGTCAGTATGTTTATCTAACACCACATTCCGTGTGTATAGTGTGCACTTGAGTATAATGTACACCCCGCATTCTTGGGTACAAGTCTCGGCGGGAAAATTGCTATTTCGTGTATTGTGTGCAGTCAAAAACTACATTGTATTGCTTCAAGTAATGAACTGGAGAAAAACTTGGCAAATGAAAATGTGAAATTTGTAACAAACACAAGACAAGATAATTACAATTTCATATGTATTTACCTATTATGCTAGAAATTATTTTATACAGAGATTAAGATCATTTTAAGTACTTGTCTCAAAAACTAAGCTGAAAATAACAATCAGCTGTACACACATTTTATCCCAGATCTATCAGTGATTTAGTTAAAAAACTCCCAATATAATAACTTAAAAGAATTTTTATAAAGTAATTGGAAGAAATTGATTCTGAACTATTATTCAGGTGGTTATAGGGTCGAGTATCGGCCCAAAATTGTATTGAAATACATTGTGATACAGGTATCTGTATAGCGATATATTGGGAGCTACAGTGTTTGACAGTGATTGTACATGCAGATCCTATTTCTACATACCTAAATAAATATTATTCAGATTAGTCAGACCGCCTCCTTGGTCTAGTGGTATAGCATCCACCCTCAGAGCGGAAGGTCCAGGGTTCGACACATCATACCAAAAGACAAAGATGGTATTTGTTGTTACCCTGCCTGGCGCTCCACATTAAGGGGCTGAAACAGGGACTGGTCGGATTGGAGTCAGTATGATGTGTCTGAGTGTATTCATGTTAAACTGCGACATGGTATCTCAGTGGGCTAGCGCCATAAGATCAGGCATCAGTCTGGACTAGTACAAGCAGCCACACAAAGACGAGCAGTCAGGTTGCTATATAAGTACAATAATCTTGGACGCGATGAACCCCATTTCACCCAACCTCACCTCAGAATAGTCTATAACTCACATTTTCGCAGTCTGGATACAGGGGAGAAAAGAACATGACATAATCACTTCCGCTTATCAGCAATCAATTTCGAAGGGAAACATTTGTGAATGAATTGTGTGTAGATGTTTGGTTAAACAATACATACATTAATGAAACTTTTTATTGTTTTTCTTACAAATGTGACGGAACACAGAACAAATATTGCAATACATGTACATACTGTTTAAAAAGAATATTGCAGTATACCGATAATACTGTGCACTCCTCATAGTTCTATCAGTTACAAAAACACAAGAGTAGTTTTCTCAGCATGCTCAACATGCACTTTATTCATTGGGTTATCTCCATGCAAATATGGATGACAAAATACAAAGGCATCCATGTTTTATGTACAATTGTATGAATAAATACTGTTGATAGTGATAGTGATTTACAATACTCATGTTCATTATTGTTCCAATACCTTTCCAGAAAATGCAAACTCATATCCGTTAATTAACCTCTTTTATTTCTCAGGGCACTGGCCATTAAATTGTTTGGGATGAAGAATTTACAAGTTTCTCTACAGGATTCAGAGAGGGGTTGACATAATACCCAAATCAAGAACTGATTTGGCCGAGGGCGCAGTCAACATGTAAGGTGTCTGAAAAAAAAAGGGATGCGCACCCCTGCTCTGGAGTTTGGCAGAATAAATATGATGCTGGTTTCAGGTAGATGGCTTAGGTTAGAGGTTTGGTTTGGTTTGGTTTTCTTGTTTTACGCCACCCTCAGCAATATTCCAGCTATATGATGGCAAGTCTGGACCAGACAATCAAGTGATTGATATCATGAACATCGATCCACGCAATTGGGATCGATGAGATGCATCCTCCTAGTCAGCGAGCCTGACCACCCGATCCTGTTAGTCACCTTTAACGACCTCGGTTAGAGACCAGGGACCTGTTCCACAAAGCTATCTTTGTGAGAAGACGATCGTAACCTACTTTAACATAAACTTAGTGCTAACATCACTTTTTGGAATGGGGCCCTGAACACATAAATGAGTGTATAATGTTGTGTGGAATAGTGTACAAAAGTAACACAATTGTAATCACAAATGAGATTAATATGTAAAAAACGTGATGCTATCAGTTAGAATTCTATGGCAGTAACTGCAAAAGGCCTTAGTGGAGCAATAACTCAAGCATACCACAAGGCTCCATGCCTTAGGCTATAGCGGTTCACGGATACACCATGTTACTCAGAAAAACGATGCATAATATATACACCTGGGGAAAAGATAAGCATCATCCTGCATTATATATCCCTAATTTCCCCAACATTGATCTCTTTTGGACACGATCAAAGATACCACCAATGTCTGCTGAAGACCTTGTTACCATAGTTACATCTGCATGGTGCTTCAGCCTATGTTAGTAACTGTGTTTCATGTTGATGGTAGTTGTAGCACTTTGTTTATGATACCATGACAACTGTTCACGTAAGTAAATTTTTCATACAGATTTACATGTTTGGGGAACAGCCCTTTCCCACACAGTCATGTATCTCCCTTGTTCTAGCAGATTTATCATGCTTATGATAGTCCTTCCTGGCAGATTGTTTTGTATAACAGAACCCTGATTTGGAACACAAATATTTGATGGAGGACATTTTGTGTTTTGTGATGTTTAGTCACATTTCACAGAAACTGTTGTCTCATCCCATGTTTCTCTCTGTGATCACGCCAGTATATTTGGAGGTTCACCATACCAGGGATTTATCTAGGATTTCAAACTAAGTGCCCTTGGAAGACAAATTGGAGAAAAAACATTTTTCTTTCTAAAACGTCCTTACTTTCTTGAATTCAGGTGTATATAAATATTTCAGTCAATGCAAAAATGCTCTTCATGTTTATTGGTCCTGTTATCCATGAAATGCAAGTCACATGCATAAAAAACCATGCATAATAAAATGACTTGCCAAATGTTTTATTCCAATTTAGGAATTTTTAATGACAAATGCTTCAGATGTCAGCCGAACACGGCATCTGAGCAGGTCTAGATAAATCCCTGTGATACTGAGATAAATGTTTTGGCGTCTTGTCAAGATTTCTGTTGATGCTCACAACCTGCAGTACAAATAAACTTGGGTGGTTGGTTCACCACCTACTGGTCTACCAAACTGTTCGATATGTTAATAACAACGCAGTGGTATCGCCAGGCAAGATTCTCAATCCCTTGAGCATTCTGACACAATGCGAAGAGGTATTGTGGAATCACAACCAATGTGCTCACTGATTGTGTATGATGATTCGGTATCCTCAAATATATTGCTGCACATTAATATGGTATGGCATACATTGGAAATACACTATGATGTCTGTTAGCAATACCAGCATGTACGATGATCTGAATGAAGACGCACCATCACATCTCTGCCTTCAATAATGGAAGTGGGGCAGTAGGTAGCCTAGTGGTCAAAGCGTCATTCATCACACCGAAGACCCAGGTTTGATTCCCTACATGTGTACAATGTGTGAAGCACATTTCTGGTGTCCCCGCGGTGATATTTCTGGAAAATTGCCAAAAGCGATGTAAAAGTATTCTCACTCACTCACACTAATGGAAGTCGGGATCTCCCCATATCATCCCCACTAAGATGTCTGTTCCTCCAGGGTCTGTATCTCCAGTGGGATGTTGTCCAGATGCATGTCGGGACTAACATACTGTATAACGTACTGTCCCCCCTCCACCCCAGCATTTGCGTCGGTCAGCAACACTTCCTCTCCGTCCTGTTGGACAATGATGGTCTCTGGGTTGACGGCCACCATTTGACCATCCTCCGCCTGGACGGTAATCTGCTGCTGCTGGCCAAATGCTCCCTGGAAAAGACAGGGCAATGCTGGTCTTGATTCATATATAATTGTATGTTCCTTGAAAATTGAAAGAGATATAACTTCAGTGAAAGTTCAAAGCTCATTCTTTGATTTCGGAATAGTTGACAGACAGTATTTTCTCATGGCAGACAACTCCCATCCGAGTTCTGACATGAAACATTCAAAAGACAACAAAGAGTAGGCATTTGATTGAATGCAGCTACAAGGTCACAACAGGGAACCCTGTCAGTGTTCTTATAAAATTCTAAGCCCATGGCCAACTTGACTGAGGTGAGGTCAAATGGGGTTAAACATCGCATTCAAGATTCTTTCACTTATATAACGACAAGCATGAACACGTGTGCCTGCGTGCGTGCATGTGTGGCTGATTGTACTAGTCTGGACTAATGCCTATTTTATAGTGCTAGCCCACTGAGATACAATGCAACAGTTATGCCCTCAATGCCGAGCACCAGGCAGGGTAACAGCAAGTAGCATCCTCTAGCGTCTTTAATCATGCTGCAGCCAGGAATCGAATTACCGACCTTCCACTTTCTGGCCAAACACTCTAGCCACTATATCATGGAGGTGGTCTGGTTTAACCAGAGTCCCCGGCACACTAAAAAGGTAGCCTTATCAGCTGTTCAGGATGTCATCTCACCTGTTGGGACATGTCGATGATCTGCTGTAGGAGATTGACCGCTGATGCTGTTTTCTCGTCCAGTTCGGACTGACCGGTCACTGAAAAGGCAAAGCATTTATCAACTCCAACACAAACAACAGCTCCTGGGTACCACAGCACACCATTACGAGTGAACTGAAAGATCCATGTAGAACCCTTCAGCCATCAAGAAAGCAATATTTCAGCTATGTGACGGAAATCTATAATAATCCAGTGATTGATATTATGAACATCAATCCATCGATGTACAATGACATGCTATCAAACAAGTCACCGAGTCAGACCACCCAACTCTTTCCACCAACATGTTCTGGGCACCCATTCTAACCCTAACCCCCTATGCGGTCTGACATCTGCTGTGATGTACCTGCAGGCTGTATGTGGATGTTGTCCTGGACGGTGGTGATGGTGGAGGTCACCTCTGTCCCAGCCTCCTGCTCTGTAGCGAAGGCTTCCTCACCACACTGCAGCACCTGGAGTGACAACAGTGATATATATGTGGCAGAAGATAGAGACTGTTGTCAATATATTTGTGGCAACTTTCACTAGCACCAGTGATTGAAGTGCTAGTAAAATGTCAGCTGGTTGACTGTAGTCAGATTAGTCATCAGCCCCTGGTTGTTGCTTACGGACAGGGCAGGCTTGATAGCTTGAGGAGTTTCTGGATGGGACAGTTTCTAGAAGCCTGGCTGTACCTAGATTACGACAAGGGGGCATTTTGAGGCCTTTTACGGCCTGACTGGCATACTAACTACTTGGATACCTATTTGAAAACACCATATTCCAACCAGCTTCCAACACAGGTCTGGAATCGGCAATGGAGACAGGACATTCGACAATGACAAAATCTGACCCTTCGTGGGTGCACTTCCATTAATTCTATGGCCTGTTACTTATTGCTGCCACAACCGCTGCTCCCACAACCAACTTTACCCATTGTATTGAAAACCTAAAACTGTGTTTTTCCATATTATTTACTGATTATTTCATTGATCTTGTGTGGTCATTACTGATTTCAGAAATTAGTTCTGTAAGGTCTGATATGGTCTCTGGTTTTATCACTACTTCTCCAGAACACACCTTTACACCTTTATCTCGTTATGCTCATTAGCAAGATGAAGTCAATGTCATCTCATTGTGGACTTAAGCAGCAGTGGGGATTATCACTTGCAATTGTCTGCAGCGTTAGACATTGGCACTCGTCCTATAGTCCTTGCCAAACTTCCCAATAGTTAAGGTATCATAAGGACTAGTAGAAATTTGCCATTTCTAAGGGTTTTGCTATATGTTATCATTATAATGACTAGTGGACTGAAACTGTTAGTTTCTACTGCTGGTCTGTTGATTACTCAATTGGGTGGTTTGTCAGTTGGTTTAACATCGCACTTTGCAATATTCCAGCTATATGATGGTGGTCTGTTAATAATCAAGTCTTGACCAGACAATCCAGTGATTGACATCATGAGTATCGATCCACGCAATTGGGATACAATGACATGCAGCAACCATGTCAGCGAGCCTGACAACCCAATCCCATTAGTCACCTCTTACGACAAGTATAGTCACCTCAATTTGGTAGTGACGGTTTACTCTGTAGTGTGTTTACAACCACACTGCTATTCTACTTATCAAATCCAATTAACAATGGAATATGTCTCTGGGGAGGACAAAGGAAATATATCCAGATGACAGGTTTTTCTACTTGAAGGGTTCTCCTTATCAGATATAAAATAATGGTAATTATATAGTGAGACTGCCTGGTCCAAAGGAAAATATCTATAAAGAGGTTTTTCCACTTATAGTCTGGAAGGTAATTTAAGATACCGACGTTTACTACAATATCTGAAAAAGTATCTGACCTACTCCAGTCAAAGTTGGTATGAGATTATTAAACAGTCATACATAACTGGATATTACATTTAAAGACAATCGGTGCATGAATAAAAAATCTGTCTATTTAGCTATCACTATATTTCAACCAGACCTGTTCGTCACGGGTGGAACGAGCATTCATTGAAACAGCCATGTGCATAATGCTACCCCTGCGTCACAGGGCCATATGACACAGTTGAACCAATCAACTCAACTCGAAAGGGTACACAGGAAACACGCACGTTGAGACGCCCAACGTTAACACCGTATTCGTGTGTGCGTGATTCCCATATAGTTCACCATATACTTTCTGTATCCCTATCTTACCTGTACTTCTGACACGTGCATCTGATCCATACACGAGATGTCTTGAACCTGTACATGATGTCGGACACGTAGGTGGCGCTTCAGGTCCGACATATTTCCGAACAGGTAATCACAGCTGAGACACTTATAGACCCTGGCCTCGCCTGGAGGGGGCTTGTCACTCTCAGCCGTGGGCTTCTCAATGAAGGTCATGCCCTTGTGGTTGCGTGTGTAGTGGATCTTCATGTAGCCGGGGGTGTTGGCGGAGTAGTTGCAGTGCTGGCACACAAACTTCTTCACTATGTCGTGGGTCTCCATGTGCCGCTTCAGGTGGCTGCTCTGTGTGGCCTCGTAGGGACATCTTAGAAAGAAAGGATTTCATCATGACATCATAGTGGGTGTGTGTATGTGAGAGTGCATGTGTGTGCATGTGTGTGCATGTGTGTGCGTGCGTGCGTGCGTGCGTGCGTGCGTGCGTGCGTTGTTGTTTATTGCAGCACTAGGTAATAATCCAGCTGTATGACATTGGCCTGAAAATAATTGAGTCTGGACCAGACCAGACCATCCAGAGATTGATATTGTGAGCAACGATCCAAGCCATCAACCAAGTCACTGAGCCTGGAAAACCTTACCAGCATAGGGAACAAATTCTAGCCTGCAATCTACACAGGGAACATCAGAGATGTCATTAATCTTGTGTGGTCATTATTGATTTCAGAATTTAGTTCTGTAAGGTCTGATATGGTCTCTGGTTTTATCATTGCTTCTCCAGAACACACCTTTGCTGTTTATTATCTCGTTATGCTCATTAGCAAGATGAAGTCAATGTCATCTCATTGTGGATTTAAGCAGCAGTGGGGATTATCACTTGCAATTGTCTGCAGTGTTATGGATGTTAGAAGTAATTAAATTTACATGAACAAAACAGTGTTAAATATTGTAAAGAGTGCGAGTGAGATTGCAATATTCTAGCCATATCACAGCATAGGCTTCACAAACTGGACATATGCTGAGATAAAAAGCTGGGTTGTGGCATAAGTGAGTTGGGTTTTACACAGCTCTGAATGAGTTGTATCATGTCATGCCAGCTTAATGTGGGAGGAAAGCACGAAGTGAGGCAGGTCTCAGAGGTGCACCACTTTAGTGAAAACCCTTGAGCACGGGTATAATGCTGAACAGCCTATAAACATAATTAGGCAAACCTAGATTTGAACCCATGATCATAGGTTTCTGTCATGCCTCAGGCACACATCGCTGGACAGCAAATAGGGGCCCCTTAGATGATTGGGCCACCCATGCTTTGAACAGTTATATCATGGTGTGTCAGCTTGATGTGGCTGGTGCTATTTGAGGATGGTGCTATCAAACCAAGAATCGTTCACTTACTTGTCACATTTGAACTTGCCCTCCTTGTGTGAGCGCACATGCCAGCGTAGTGCCGTCTTGGACTTGTAGGCCTTGCCACAGTCGCCACACTGGAAGGGCTTCTCGCTGGAGTGGCGCAGCATGTGTGCCTGCAGGTTGGTCTTGCTGCGACATGCGTGGGGACAGATGGGGCACTTGTAGGGCTTGATGCCTTCATGGACCCAGATGTGCTTCTGGAGCTCCGAGTTGGCTCGGATGAACACACGGTCACAGTACGGACACTTGTAGGACCTGCGTCCTGGCAACACAAACCATCAACATATCATTAGGTCTGTAACCATACATTTTGACACTTGTCTTTTGCTAAGGGGACTCTCTTCCCGAGGCAAGGGAGTTAACTGCTAAGATACTAGTACCTGGATACCTGCGGTACATAAATTTACAATATAATAATAACAGGGTCTAGTCCACACAAACCGATGGTTGACTACATGAGCAACAATCGAGCCTGTTGAACACAATGAACAAGGTCTCACACTGTGACCACCAGACACTCATCTCAGTCAGCGCTGATGACAAGCCTGGGAAGCAGGTGACTGTTGACACACACATACCCATCTTGCCTTGCATCCTGTGTCTGACCCCCGACAGCGCATCCAGATAGTTCCGGTCGGTCTCGGGATGATCCAGGATCATGTGGTTCCGCAGTTTCTTAATTCTGTTCACAGGAATGACTTGTTATTTATTGGAAATCATGAAATTAATGCGTCACCAAATTAATGAGAGGGCGTATCCCTTGCCTAAATTGTGTTATAAAACTTATACCGGTTGTGATACCTTTGAAATGTAAAACCACTTATCAGCAAACACCAAGACTGTACATAGACTTTGAATACCATGTTGTAATATAGTGCACATGTAGTTCGTTCACATTCTTCGACTTGACATGTGATCTTCCATGATATCATTCGCAGGGAATATAACCAAGGCATATTTGGCATTAATTACATGATTTACAGAACATTAGATCTTCAACCAAATCGCGACATGATTAATTGTTTCTTGTTTAACGCTGTACTCTGCAATATTCCAGATATATGATGGCGAGAAAACCTTGGCATGATAAACCAGTTACTGAGTGAGTGAGTGAGTGAGTGAGTGAGTGAGTGAGTGAGTGAGAGTGAGTGAGTGAGTGAGTGAGTGAGTGAGTGAGTGAGTGAGTGAGTGAGTGAGTGAGTGAGTGAGTGAGTGAGTGAGTGAGTGAGTGTGTTCTCCACTCTAATATAGTGGGAATATCAATATCATTGTGGGGATACAAAGAAAGTTCTTCATCAGCGCTACAAAAATTGGCACGGGTCCTATAGTCTTTGCCAAACTGTCCAATAGTTAAGGTATCATAAGGACTAGTACAAATTGGCCATTAATGAGTGTTTTGTTATATGTTATCATTATAAGGACCAGTGGAAACAAACAATTACTTTCTATTGCTGCTTCATATTATAAGGCCTTATTATACCCTTGAAGTATTTTTCATTTGAAATTGCTCTAGTCTGTATGACCAACAGCCAAGAATAATTAACGTCAATAATCTATTAATCTGAGGAACTTACGTATCAAACTTTTGCTGGCAAACATTGCACTCGACCCCCGTGACCCCGAGATGTTTCAGCTGATGGTTCCACAGCTGTGTGCGGGATGGAGCAGCATAGTCGCACTCCTTGCACGGAAACGTCATCTTTAGATGCTCCTTCTCTATATGCCGCTTCAAGCTGTCCTTTGAAATGGCACGGTAGTTACAGTGTTCACAGTTGAAAGGTTTGTCGCCTGGAAAACAAATCAGTTGACATGGAAACATTCACAGCATTGTAGCTCACCTGGATATGTGGTGAACAGTTTTCTGGCAAGTGTTAACAAAAGTTGATGCCATCTATTTTGACATGAACTGTTACCTTATTTTTATTCGACTTGGGCCGAATATCGGCCTCTGAGCAGGTGTAGATAAATCTGTAGTGGCAAAAGTCATTCTATATTCCTAAGCAAGCATCATCATCCATGAAACTAACCTGTATGTGTGCGTAGATGAGGTTCATAATCTGCTTTGTTGTAGAACAACCTTCCACAGTATTCACACTCCTCACAGCCAAAAGTCTCCCTCATTTTGTGGAATATCTCCATGGACATTTCCCTGTAGCCAAGTCTTTTCACAATGCTCACAATAGTCTTGTCCTTGTCGTCCTGGGGCTCGCTGATCTCACTGGCATCCTGTTCGTTCATAGTCTCCTCCTCTTCATTTATAGGTTCAGATTCTTCTTGTACATCCATGGCCTCGTCTTCTTCCTCCAAGGGTTTTGTTGCTTCCTCAACAGTTTCTTTCACTTCCTTGGGGTTGTCACTCAGTTTGTTTTTGTCAAGTTCATTGTCTTCTGTTAACCCGTCTGTCAAAGACTCGCTGTTTGCTTTACTCCCTGTTTCTTGGCTGGCTGCTCCATCGGTTTCTTTGTCAGCTGAAGTAATAAATGAGCATCTTATCAAGGCTATTCCTACAGAAATAATCTGTTTCCATTGTTACTACCAATAGAGTCATTTTGTAGAACCACCAATGAATCAACTCAAAAATTGACTAGTTTTGTTTTCTTCTTAATCCCGAACTCAACAATATTCCAGCTATATGACGCTGGTCTTTATATAATCAAGTCTGGACCAGACCATCATGTGATTGGCATCATGAGCATCGATCTACAAAATTGGGATACAATGACATGCATCAATCAAGTCAGCGAGCCTGACCACCCGATCCCGTTAGTCGCCTCTTACCACAAGCATAGTCGCCTCTTATGCTAAGCATGAGTTGCTGAAGACTTTTTCTAACCTGGATCTTCATGGGTGAATAGTAGTATTTTCCAAAAACCTAATGTCTGAAACCAAATCAGGATTAGTTGGATCTAATGCATGATGTCTACCCTATTCTATGTGAATTGAGTCTCTTCCTATGACCAGGCTAGTTTGCAAGTGACCAATTCTAACCAGGAATCCCCACCTGTTCCCAGTTTATTCGCCTCTTACGACTAGCAGTGGGATGCTGGGTACGCATTCTACCATGGGTCCCCACGGGGTAAAGTGTATTAAGCACTGTAACATCAATGATAAGAGCAATAATTAGAATGAACTTCTCTTGTCCCATTAAATCAAAATGATTACTCATTCAGTGATAGCATATGATTATAACTATTTAAGCACCAATACTACAAACTCAAGTTTGTACACTGCATATACTTAGGATTACCAGATAAAGATTGAAATGACATGACCATTTTTCCTTGACAAGTGAGTTAACTGACTATAAAAGTCCAGTTCTTGCCGAACTAGGCTGTTATTATGGTGTTACATTTTGGCTGGACTGAGTCTATGCATAGTCCAATTAAAATCCTGTAACGAAATCAAAATCCAATTCGTAAAATGTCATACAGATTTCGGTTGATGGCATGGTTTGCAAAGCATGTGTACCGCCAACTCATTGCAAGTGAAATGAGAGGTGAAATCTGATTGATCCTTAGGAGAGGCTTAGAAGGGACATAACTCTTATTAGCCACTGGTTGCACTTTGATTGAGCCCAGGAATTTCAGCCTAGTTCGGCAAGGGTGGAAACTGGACATTTAAAGTCAGTTGACTCTCTTGCCTCGGGAAGATGTGACATGACATGATGACGCAAACAATTATTTTTTTAACATCAAAATTACGAAAAGACTTTCAACTCTAATTTTCAACACTGCACTACATATCATGTTTAAGCAAGAACTCCACACATTTTCAATGCATATTACAAAATGGATCCTTACATCTCTTCAGCAGTTTTCACAACCTATCCAATGGCACATGCCAAGAGTTAAAACCAACAAGCCAACAGTGGTTATCATCAATAATTATTATAGGATTTTCAGCGTTCCCGTTTACCGGTAATTACCAGTTTTTTACCGGTAAAATTAGGCTTGGACCGGTAATTCATGTGACTGCCAGTCCCTGTGGACCGGCAAACATGGCAAATGAAGTACCTTATAAATCTTTGTTGAACAAAACATTGGTGATATTAATATAAGTACATTTTTAAAACAAAGTCAACTTGTCTGTTACCATAAGGGTTTCCCCTGGTCTATTTAAGGGTTAAATATCCATTTGTAGCAATTTCATCTCGAAATATTAAAAAAAAGAGAAAGTTGTCTGAAGTTTGTGTGAATGACATAGCTAAGTTACTTCAGAGATGACATCTTTGCACTGAACATGATGTTGAAAGAATAAAAACTAAATAATTTTCATACATTTTTTGATTTGTTGAAAGTTGGGACTGACAAAGTTAGGGGGGACTGGTAATTTTTAGAGTTGCCTGTCCACAAGGACTGGCAGATTCAAAAGCCAGCGGGAACACTGATTTTAAATGACCCGCTGGAGCCGCACTTGAGTAGGCCTATCAGGGTGAATTAATTAACGTCAAGCAGTTCACTGAATCCCACTGACAGCACCCGTCTTGCATACAAGTGACGGTACGTCTCATGTACACCTTACGTCTGCAAAAGATTATGTAACACAAATAACTAGATCAATAGGCTACAAGGAAAAAACAAGAAACAAGTGATGAGCCAAGCTTGTCTGACTCTGCTATCCAGCCTACCTTCCTTCTTCTGTCCCTCCATCTCCACATCCTCCCCCAGGCCCGGCATGGGTAGATCAGTATCCATTGGTTCCGAGTCCTCATCTGCAGCTGTATCTATCTGATCACTAGCTCCCTTTACACTGTCCTTCACTGGGTCCAGCACCAACCCCACACACTCCTTGTTTGAAGCATCCATAATTGCGTCCTTATCAAGCTGGTTCGTACAGATCAGAGAGCCGTCTGTGTTAAGAACTGTTTCAGGGTTTGAAGTCTTATCCCCCTCCTTCTGCTCTGACTCGCTCTCAAGAGTTTCAACACATGTCTTCTTCAAACTTGTGCTCGATAATTCCTCAGGAAGATTAATAAATTCTTTTTCCGTTGCATCAAAAGATTCATCAGGCTCCGGTAAATAGAGACTGTTATTGATGCTCTGCTCGAACAAGTTCTCCCACTGGTTAGGATCGTCCTTCAAGTGAACGCTGGTCAAGTGGTCAATGAGCCGGACAGTACTGAGAAACTTCTCGTCACACAATGTACAACAGTAGATGACGCGATGCTTGAGGTAATGCTTCTCCAGGTATGTCCGTCTACTGGCAGTGTAGTCACATAGCTGGCAGTGCTGTATGTTGGGGATGTCTTTGATGTCATGGATAAAAAGATGGCGATCTCTGTCAATCTTCTTCTTGAACTTGCGATTACACACATGACACTGGTGGATGACTGTTGCCCCCCTGGATTGTCTCCCTTGGAGGAATGTTTGAAGGTATTCCCTCCCTTTGGCTGAAAACCTGCAAGGGAGGACATTTCCACATGAATGTTGCAAGTGACTCTGTGACATTTAATTGGCTAACGAAACATACTTGAAAAAAAAAGTCTTTGTGTTATGGAGGTAGAAATGTAAAAGCCTGTGTGCACACTTTGAGTTACTCCGAAAATATCCATCTGCTCATGAGGAGTGAGTGAGTGAGTGAGTTGGGTTTAATGCCGCTTTAACAGTATTCCAGTTATATTGTGGCGTGTCAGCTTAATGTGGGAGGAAAGCCCGAAGTGATGCAGGTCTCAGACGTTTACTACTTTGGTGAAACCCACGAGCACGGGTATGGTGCTGACAAACCTAGAAACATAGTCGGGGCGAACTGGGATTCGAACCCACAATCATAGGTTTCTGGCATGCCCAAGGGACGCAACTCTGCACAGCGAATCACAGCACCTTAGACGACTGGGCCACTCGTGCCCCCTTGCTCACGAGGAGAGTGAGTCGGTTAGTGGGTCCTAGTCATCTTTGTCAATACAACTACAATATTTTACGTTAAGGCTTGAGGGAGATTTGTCAAAATCAGCCCATTACACTGATAATTCTTTTTTCACAGGCAGCAATATTCAAGGCACATGGCAACCAGTGAGTGAGTGAGTGAGTGAGTGAGTGAGTGAGTGAGTGAGTGAGTGAGTGAGTGAGTGAGTGAGTGAGTGAGTGAGTGAGTTGGGCTTAATGTTTTTTTTAACAATATTCCAGTCATATCACTGCGTGTTGGCTTAATGTGGGAGGAAAGCACAAAGTGATCGCAAGACGTTCACCATGAACACAAGTATGGTGCTGACAAACCCAGAAACATACTTTAGCGAACCGGGATTCGAACCCACGATCATAAGTTTCTGGCGTGTCCATGGGACGCAACTCTACAAAATGAATTGCAGCCTCTTAGACAACTGGCCCACTTGTACCCTGCTGTCAAACATAGTATCTCCATGACATGACTTACTTGTGGTACTTCCTGACATGGTTGATGAGTGACTTGAGTGTGTTGTAGTCCTTCTTGCACATCTGACACTGTTTGCGCACATTGCTGTGCGTGGCCTCATGCTCCAGCAGGTGACTCTTGTTCACTGTCCGGAAGGAACACTTGCTGCAGTTGTAGAACTGACCTGTGTGTTTCCGCATGTGTGTGTACAGATTACCTGCATCAAGGAGTCAGTGAGTCAGTGAGTGAGCTGGCCTAAAGCTGCTGTTATCAATATTCCAACAAATCTGGGAGGGGGAACGACACCAAAATTGGGCTCCAGCCATTGTACAAATCACAGCTAGTTATGAGCCTAGGATAATCTGTTTCCTAGCTAACATTCAGGCAAGTCATTTTTACATTAAACAGGAAAGTCATTTTCTCTGAGTAAATGCCTCCATTATAAGTAAACAAATTTACAGAAATGGTTGTCTGTAAGCAAGTATTTCTCTAACATGCACATATTATAAAAAAATCTGAAATGAAGACTATGAAATGGCATAATTGTCACATGATCAGTAATTTGCTCATAAATCTTCTTACAATACAAATAATTAATGCTTTATGATGAAAAAGTGAAGCATTTGAGATTCAAACTTTTTAGTATCCTTTGGATAATAATAAATTTCTTCTTTTTAGTATACTGAACAAAAAAAGTTAGGGATCATGAACATTTTGGGGATATTTTTTGAGGTGAAGACTGAGCCTACAATTTCATAAAAAAATAATAAATATTATATATATTACACATCCCTAACTTTTAGTGTTCACCATAGTTTGGCAATGCAACATTCCTTAAAGTAGTTGTCCCTGTATAAATTAAAAAAAACCCAACACATATGAAAGTAGTAAAATAATTTTCTATCATGACTGCACACACCCTTAGAGTTTGAAGCATAGGAGCACTTGAAGCATTTGAAGGGCTTGAGTTCAGTGTGGATGAGACAGTGAAGTCTCATGTGAGACAACGTCTTGAACACCTTGTCACAGATGTTGCAGCTGTACAGTGATAGCGACGTCGACATGTTCCGCACCGAACTTGCATTCTCGTTCAGGTCTTGTTCGATCATGTGAATCTTGAACATCTGATCCACGCTGCTGAGGTCCACGTTCAGGTTCGTCTCGAACGCTACTTTTTCTTCAAGGGTACGGAAAACTGGGATGTCATCGATCTCATCCGTGGGTTTCTCCGAGTTGTAGTTGTAGGCATCGCCATCTGGGTCAGCACTGACTAGAACGTTGTCAAACTTCTTGGCTCGGTGTTCATCTACGAATACAGACAACGATTTGAAAATGTTGCTGGACAAACTGAAAGACACAAAAATGAAAGTCTGACGTGATCTAGACGTTATTTCAATTTTGTGGAAGCCTCGGTGGCTGAGTGGGTTAGATCGCTGACTTTGTGTGCTGGTGATTAGGTGCCTCACTCTGGCAGTGTGGGTTCAAATCCCGGATGGGTCTCAACCCAACCCAAAAAGGTACTAGAGTCTGTACTTTACTAAGAAAGTGTTATCCCAAGTATAATATTTGTTGCAAAAAATAAATGATTATTTTCCCCAATTCATCTGCAACTTGTGCAAGGGCACTCAGTTTAGAATCAGTGATACATCCGTGTTTTATTCATGAGGATACAAGCCTTCATGTTGTGTTTCTAGCGGTATCCACACACCTGCAATGATGAGGTCCGCGGGAGCAGTGTACTCCTCTGCATCCTCTACTTCCTCTGCTCCTACATCCTCCAGCTCATCAGAGTCGTCTCCTGCTGACACAAACCTCTGTCAGTACACCCCACGGAGTTGAAGTACCATGATAGCGATATTGGTAAATTGTTAATGTTGATGCTGTATTGATACACAGTTATGAATATTGATACTATATTCATTAATAATTCATTGCCACAAAAATGTTGACATTAATTTTGTTAAGATCAACATGGTAAAGGTGGACTATGAGAGTGAGTGAGTATGGTTTAATGCCTCTTTTAACAATATTCCAGCAATATCATGGCGGAGAACACCAGAAATGGGCTTCACACATTGTACCCATGTCGGGAATCGAACCCGGGTCTTCTGCGTGACGAGCGAACGCTTTAACCACAAGGCTACCCGACCATCCCGTGGATGATGAGAAGGCAGAAAGTTTTAAACATTTAATGTTCAGCCTAGTTCATATTTAGCAATACGTTCATTAATTGCCATTCTATATGTAGAATGAGACAAAAATGTCTTCATTTTCTTTTAGTTTACGTTTCCAATTTGTAGCAAAATTATTGGATTTTTATTTGTCATCAGCACAATTTGGAAGTCTCAGACTAGTGGACTAGTTTGAATTTGGAAGGCTGACAACTGCCTTCAGTACAAAATGTTTGACAGGAACAAAACAAGAAGACTAGTAACATATATCAGGAGAGTATTATGCAAGAGAAACAGAACTGATCTATAAAAGAAAGGTTTCCTTTTCCTTGTGAAAGAATTAACAGGACCCCCGACCCTAGGACATGAAGAGCAAGGCCTGGGACAGTACCTGAGTCCAGCTTGACATCCTTACTGGTGATGATAACATAGTCGGACGATGCCAGACACTTGTGGGTGTTGAAGAAGCGCTCCTTGGTAAAAGCTCTCTTGCAGCGCACACAGTGAAACTTGCCATCTTTGGCTGAAAAACAAACTAAAGGTTAATTTCCAGTGTTCGAAACTCAACTATGAAATTACAGCTTCTCTAAAATGAAAGATGCGTAAGAACTGACTTCAATATATTTGGCTTATGGAGGTATAACATAAAAACCGATCTGAGTAAGCAAAGTGTGTACACCGATAAGTATGTTTATACCTCCATAAACACAAAAACATATTGAAGTTAATTCCTATAGTCAACAATAATAACTTCACAGACAGCTTATTTAATCATTAACACGCACACAAAATAATGCAGCCAACAATACGATCCAGTGACATCATTCATCCAATAATACAACACAAACCCCACCCATTCTATTATCAGTGAAAAATGTAAGTCTGTTAGTGAGTGTGGCCTATTTTTTTGGTTTAAGGAGTCAAACTAAGAAAGTTGTTTGGTTAGCAAATCAAAGGCCACAGAATCACTGGCAATTTATTTTCCCAAACTGAATTCAATGGAAACTATGACAACTCACATTTCTCTGGAAGAGGTGGTTTCCCTACTTCTTTGCTAACAGCATCAATAACCTTGTTCTTCTCTTCTCCCTTCTTTGGTCGACCTTTCCTTTTGGCTGGAAAACAAATAAGTGAGTGAGTTGGGTTTAACGCCGCTTTTAACATTACTCCGGTTATATCATTGAGTGTCAGCTTAATATGGGAGGAAAGTCCAAAGTGATGCAGGTCTCACACGTTTACCACTTCGGTGAAACCCACGAGCACGGGTAAGGTGCTGACAAACCTAGAAACATAATCGGGGCGAACTGGGATTCGAACCCACAATTATAGGTTTCTGGTGCGCCCAAGGGACGCAACTCTGCACAGCGAATCGTGGCGCCTTAGATGACTGGGCTACTTGTGCCCCCAGAAAACAAATAAATATTTATTACATGCAACACACCAAATGCCAAGAAGTATCTTAATGTGACCTGTATTAAAAGTGACAAATGTTAACACGTCAGTTGTACCTTTGACATCAGTCTGAGTGACCGGTTGACGACATGTGCAGTCAGCGGCATACTGTGATGTCACAACACCTGCTGCAACAGACCCCAGATGAGCATAAACAGTTATTCAAGGACAATATCAAAGTACTAATGTTTCTAAAATAATTCGTTCTTATTCCAACACGTAGATGTCTGTTAAAGACATGCTTCCTGAAAGTATTTCTGGAGTTCCTAACACAAAACCATAGTATAAATCAGAGTATAAAATAAACACAAGTCTGCTATGCCAAGACTAGTAAAATGCAAGACGGGCTCATTACCTTTTCATGTAGTCTACAACATTTTCCATTAGGTTTTGTGTGTTTGTGGTTTAATGTCGCACTCAGCAATATTCCAGCCATATGACGGCAGTTTGTAAATAATTGAGTCTGGACCAGACAATCCAGTGATTGATATCATGAGCATCAATCTACACCATTGGGAAACGATGACATGCATCAACCAAGTCAGCGAGGCTGACCAACCGATCCCGTTAGTCTCCTCTTACGACAAGCATGGATTGCTAAAGAGCTATTCTAACCCATATCTTCATGGGTCTTTTCCATTAGGTAGAGTGCAACTCTGCAGCTGTTAATTTTTGTGGACTAGTGAAAAAACAAAAACAAGTTAATTTCAATGATTGCAATACAAATCTGTTCCCATGGTAACAGCTCGTGTTTCTAACTTACGTGCTTCTGTGCTGGGAGTGCATGTTGCCTTGTCCGTGACTGCTTGTGTGACCAGGGACTGACCCTCATCCAGGATAATTAGAGTAGGCGTACCATTCTCATCTATGTGATCCCCCGTTTCCACGCTGATGCCCTGGTCAATGGTGTCGCTGAACAGGTTGAGGGTGGTGGTTCCATCTCCGGCTGCATCTACATGGAGACAGGGATTGACAGGCTTCAAAATTGTTCGTATTGGGAGTGCCAAAGCCATGGTTAAAATCCTTATGGCACAGTAAATTCTAGTTTCCAATGCCTAAAGGCCACACTTTGAAATGGCACGTTTTAACAATTTGTTTGTTTGTTGGTTGTTTAAAGCTGCACTCAGCAATATATCCAGGTGGTCTGTAAATAATTGAGACAGGACCAGACAATCCAGTGATTGACTTCATGACTATCGACCTACACAATTGGGATATGATGAGATGCATGAACCAAGTCATTGAGCCTGACCACCTGGGCCCACATGCACAAAGTGATCTTAGCGCTAAGATGATCGTAACTCCCATACTTCAACATAGGCTTACGATAGTCTTAGCGCTAAGATTGCTTTGTGTAAGTGGGCCCAGATCCTGCAGGGATTTATCCAGGATGCTAAACTAAGTGCCCCTGGCAGACCAATTGGGTTTGAAATTCTTTATTTCTTATTTTCTGAAAGTCAGAGGTATTTACACATTATAATTTGAGATTGTATTCAATGCAATAACATTAAACTAAGCATTGAAATCCCTTCAAATTGGTCCTGTTATCATTGAAGTACAGGTTATCTCTACAAAACCTTAAAAGTTATAAGTTATATATACATATTAACATGAATTGGGAACTTGCGGCTGAATATTGGCCTCTGTGCAGGTCTATGTAAAATCCCTGGTCAGCTGGAGACCAAATCTAACCTGGATCTTAACAGGGGTACAGAGCTCCAGATAAGCTGCGTAGCTGCGTATCTGCATAAAATACGCATCAGAAATGCAGAAATACGCAGTGAAATAAAATTCAAGCGTATCAAATATGCAACGAACATTACAGATACGCTACAAAAATAAAACTTGTGCGTATCATCAAAATATTGTGAAGTAACCCTGCATATTCCATTAGCAAATCAGCAAATTATTTTGAAATTATATATGGACATTCCGTCAACCTTGCCAAACTCCACGATGACAGTAACATCATGATCATTTGCCATCACACTTTCTTGTGGAAGTATCGTGGTATTTTTGAGTCCTATAAAGCTCTCGAACCCACACGACACCAGTTTGTAGGGTCTAGATGAATAGTGTTTTTAAATATTTAACTTAAATACCCACATGTGTAAAAACTAGTGGGTAACAGAAATTTGAATACCCAGATAGAATTACTGATACCCAATGATTTTAAAATGCATGGGTAAAATACCCACAACACAAAAAGCTTATCTGGAGCTCTGGGGGCATTTAGTGACACATGAGTGTACTAATATACTTCCCAGACTCCAAATCATTTCAAAGGAAGGAAATTAATTTTTAGAGTGAATCGATGTGCAAAGGTAACAATAAAGATGACATAAATGCAAAACTACATAAGTAAAAGTGGAAATGTATCCCTGACCCTCACCTGTATATTCAGTTATCTCCCCTGATCCGTTGACATGCACCTGGATGACCTCTGGCTGTTGTGGCTCACACCCTTCCCCCTTGTGTCGCATGAACAGCTCTATCTCATTGAAGGCACCCTGGCAGGTACCACAGATGAAGGTGTCCATTGGCATCCGTCATCCTGGAGGAGTGAGTGAGAGAGTATGGTTTTATCCTGCTTTTGGCAGGATTCAAGCAAATATCTTGGTAGGGGGACACCAGCAATGGGCTTCACATATTGTACCTATGTGGGGAATTGAACATGGGTCTTTGGCGTGACAAGCGAACACTTTAACCACAAGGCTACCCCACCCCACCACGCAAGTCCTGAACATGAAGCAAGGGCCTGCCGAAAGGTACTAATTCTTGATATATATTTCAAACACTGTTTGAAACATGGTTATGCAAGCTGAATAGGTAACATTAGGTAATTACGCGGGGTCAAACTGTTTCATGTGATTACAGAGGCAACTCAAAATATATTTGTTTATGGCCATTTATGTTGAATCAGGTATAAAGATATGCAGCCTTTCTGGAGCTCTGAGCTATGTGGTGATGCCCTGTAAACAAGAGTAGTTTTTTCACAAACCAGTGAATGATATGAGGGTTGCCTTTTTTGTTACAATGGCACACAATCAACCAATTCCCTGGGTGAGTGAGTGAGTTGGGTTTAACACCGCTTTTAACAGTATTCCGGTTATATCCGGCGTGTCAGCTTGATGTGGGAGGAAAGCCCGGAGTGATGCAGGTCTCAGATGTTTACCACTTCGGTGAAACCCACGAGCACGGGTATGGTGCTGACAAACCTAGAAACATAATCGGGGCAAACCGGGTTTCGAACCCACAATCATAGGTTTCTGGCGTGCCCAGGGGACGCAACTCTGCACAGCAAATTGCGGCGCCTTAGACGACTGGGCCACCCGTGCCCCCCAATTCCCTGAGACTGATCACATATTCTAATCCTGATTCCCCATGGGGAATCAATTGTCAATTTAACTGATGCAATTAAATTGATTAAATGTGTTTAGGTTGAGTCTCTTCTCAATCCCTTTGATGATAGATTACACCTTTCTAACATAATGTTTAGTTTCAATGTATCCTGTTTCTGCTTTAATTTACTCGTACCATACACATGCTCGTGGGTTTCAACGAAGTGGTAAACGTCAGACCTGCATCACTCCGGGCTTTCCTCCCACATTAAGCTGACACGCTGTGATATAACCGGAATACTGTTAAAAGCGGTGTTAAACCCAACTGACTCACTCACTAATATATTATACCCTCCAGTGGTTGGAATTTGCCTGGATCTGAGCAGAGATTGTGGGTTTCAAGATACCAGAGTACATTCCATTTACAAGCTGACCACGCCACATGACGACAGTTGATCATTAATGACAACGAGATGACCCTATCACATGACATAGTTCTAATTCCAAAGAGAATAAAAAGATTAACACAAAAAGATTTATTTAGCTGTTGTAATAAATATGTAAGAGTTTGAAACCTAACATCAAAATTTCTAATTGCATAGTCATTTTTTTAAAATTGTGTTACCTCTTCTCCTGAGTAGTCTCTCACAAGTCTTTGAATTATTTTAGTACAAGAAACATTTAACCACTGATCATGCCAAACATGTGGCTTACTGATAACAACAAAAGGATTATTTATTTACACTTACAGAGGTTCATAGCCAAGGATTAACTTACTTTTTTCCTTTGTATAAACAGATTTCTGAAAAACACAATTAATTATCGGAATGTGTTTGGAATCTGTTTTAGTAACTTACCACAACTGAAGGTATAGAAGTGTTTTATTCACAATATGCATACAGCTAAAAGCAGAATTTTTTTATATAGAGAATCTCACCTGAGTGTCTTTTGATATCAAATATATCAACACGAGTTTATAAAAGTGGAAAAATTAGGAGGCTTGCCGAGGATTTTTGCCACTTTTATCAACGAGTGTTGACATATTTGATATCAAAAGACACAAGGGGAGATTTTATTTATCATCCAACATCATTCCTCCAGCTTTTTCAATTTGTAAACAGTAATTAGCAGTGTCTTCAGTGTAAAAAGTACTGCTAACAGCTTCAGTAGCAGAGTTATTAGTGATGTCATTTGATTGTGACGTCATGGTAACCAGTGACGTCACAATGGTCTTCAAAGCATTGTGATGTACTTTCATTGCAGCGATATCTACAGTGTAGATATTGCTTGATCTCATCCAAGCCATATCTCCTGTGGGAGCCAGTTTTGGATGATAAAGGCATTTCTTAGATGTTGACAGATGACAAAGTAGACACAATTTATGGATAAATATTATTATACTGTAATAGCAGTGTTATGGTATAGATCATTATGATGCTTGGCTATATTATGATATGTTATATTTGGTCTTTATATATAATAAATATATTCAACGCTCTTATTCATCTTACCCTACACAGGCTTGTCTACTATGTTTCTGAAAGGGTCAGCGTAGTAACCCCTTATCACTGGTGCATAACTAAAAATGTTTTGATAACACAGTAGATGACATGAACTGTGCACGAAAGTGGGTGCCCCTGTGTCATTGTAGGCTAGGGCAGAGTTTGGTCAAGGGGCCGCAGAGAAGGGTCCGTATTGATGATCTTGAGGACAGAAAATGAAGATTATATATTACATGTACTTAGCAAAGCCACTGAGTAACAAAACTGGCTCACTCCCACTTAGCCAACTTGCGGCAGGGATTAACAGTTATGCCTGAGTGATTGTCCAGAGTATGTCGACCATGACAAAATGACCAAGTAAAATAGGATAAGAGTTCAGTACTATAAGGGTAATACTATTTTTTCAGGGCATTATTATTTGCAGAAGCCTGAGGTCTTCCGTTGAAAAGACCGAGGGCTTCTGAAAATGATAATGCCCTGAAACATAGCGTTACCGTTATTATAGCTAAAACGGATGGAATTTGTTATCAAATGAAAAGAAACAACAATATCAGTTTTGAAACATTTACTGCAATCAACACGAATGTCACCGAGCCACCTTTATAAATATGGGAACGCCATAGAACAAACCAGATGACGTCACTATCGAACATGACGTCACCTATCCCTATCCCTATCCCTATGATGTCACCTAACAACGGGCATGTTAATGGCCCGTCGTCAAGCAATATGCGGGCATTATCAAGTTACAGTGGCCTGATCATTTCTGATAACATGTGGGTGGTTTGATGATAATTCTATCCATTTTAGCTATAATAGTGATTAATCAGCAATGACCATGTGTTCAGGGTTGAATTAGTGTCACAAAAATGATCAATGAACATTGGTACTGAGCACATAATTACTTATTACTATCATAAAACCGAGAGCTGGAGACAGATCCCCTCCTAGCAAGCGCTGGTATGTCCAGCTTGGTGATGTGCTTGACAGGTACAAGAGACATCGGAATTCCGGCGAAAAGACATGGATTGAATATATGGATGCTGTATCACGCCTTACTGGATTTTGAGAATTGTAAAATATGCTAGTACTAATTATATATGGGTAATTATATTATTATTTAATTTGTATGCATATAACATGGTCATGCATTTCTTGATGAAGTGATTAATAAAATATTGCAAAATCTGCCTTCTTATATACTTTTTGTACTCATTACCTTTAGTCATCCGTGTTACTCCATGGCTAGTCTGTCTTACAGACCCTGATACAAATATATAGACCATGCAAGTCTAAAATGTTTGGCAAGTCTAGATTACTGCAGTGTAAATGAAGAGAGTCACTGGGCTCCTTTTTATTATATTTTTATTAAGATAACTGAACAACTGTTTTTTTTCTGTACGATATGTTCATTTCAGAGACTAGATGTTAGTCTACTCCATGGCTAGTGAAATAAATGAGACACCTTTTGTTCTTGGGGATTATCATGCCTCACTGGTTTTCTTGTGAGTATTGTTTTACGTCGCTTTTAGCAATAATCCTGCAATATCACTGAGGGGAACAGCAGAAATGGGCTTCACTTATTGTACCACTGGAAGGAATTGAACCCAGATCTTTGGCATGACAGGCGAACGTTTTTATCACAAGGCTATCCGACCGCCCCAATCAGTTTTGTAACTCGAAATTATAGGAGTTGAATAAGATGGATGACCCTGTGCGGGCATTCGTTGGAATAGTATCATCCAACCATAATCGGGATCGCGTAACCACTCAAATCATTTATCATAATTGCTTGTCCCTTTTCTATAATTATTGTCAAATTTGATCTGAAGTTATACAATTTTATTTGACAAATGAAAATACTTGATTAGTTGCTTATTGTAACATTGTTGATGACTGTGCATAGATGTATGTGTGATTATTATTATAGATCAAAGGATTCAAACAAATTATGTTTGTATAGAGGTTGTTTTTGAAAATTATGGGCATGTTCAATCAATCATTGCTTTGGTTGGGGCTAACCCATCCACCCTTAATTATAATCAAGTATCACCGCATCAATAGCTCACATGTGTATTTGAAAACAGCATTAGAAACTAACAGTTTTCGTCCACTCGTCCTTATAATGATAACATATAGCAAAACCCTTAAAAAGGGCAAATTTCAACTAGTCCTCATGATACCTTTACTATTGGGCAGTTTGGCAAGGACTACAGGACTAGTGCCAATTTCTAACACTGTGGAAAGCACCTGTCGCCAAGTCGTCTCCGACTCAAACATGATCATTTGCTGTGCAGAACTGCTTCCCTTAGGTGTGACAGAAACCTTTGGTTGTGGTTTGTGCGATTAATTGCAGACTGCCGTTGTTGTTGTTTGTCTGTTTGTTGTTTAACGCTGCATTCAACAATGTTCCAACCATATGACGGTAGTCTGTAAATAATCGAGTCTGAACCAGACAATTCAGTGATTGACATCATGAGCATCGATCCAGAAAATTGGGATCAATGACATGCATCAACCAAGTCAGTGAGCCTGACCACCCGATCCTCGTTGGTCACCTCTTACGACAAGCATAGTCGCCTTTTATGGCAAGCATGCGTTGATGAAGACTTATTTACCTCGGCTTTCCTCCCACATTAACCTGACTTGCCGTGATAGAATACTAATACTGCAATACTGATCAAAGCAGTATTCTACCATGACCTGGGGACATATTAGATTTTGATTTGTCAATCGGAGATATCAAATCACAATAAACCCCCTCTGATTGAAACAGCCATATTTAAGGCCTCATCACTGCGGAAGCTAATATTTTTGGAATAGTTCTTCATTTACAGTCATTGTTGGAAGGCATATATTTAACAGTCTACAATTTGGCACTTTTCGATATACAACTGTGACATCATCTTTTACGTCATCATGAGCTAAATTTAACATTTGAAACCTCACGCTGCATGTTCGGTTCCAAATTCAATTCAGCGTGATTAAACCTACAGGTAACCTGGCTCTACACGGAAAACACAGTATGTTTATCTGTAATTAATCAAACCAAATGCCTACCCCAGTCTTTGAGAAATTCTGTATTCAGTTGAGAAGTAAGACATTTATGGCTACTTAGAGGCTATAGCCTATATCGATATAACAAGTGTCTGAAATAAAGCGTTAAAATCAAGCTGTAGATGGTATGACCCTAATGTTAAAAGTTAATATTTCAGGGTCCCCTGGTTCAAATACCATGCATCGGAGAAAATTTTAAGAGTCCCTTCCCTTTGAACAGTTCAACAATAATAGCAGTATGTTGTAGGGCAGTAATGATTCACTCGCATATTCGGTGAATCGAACCGTATCCATTCATGAACTGAATTTGTTATTCGTGGCCACTAGAATCGAATATTTATGAATATGTAAGCATATGCATTTACATAAAAAAAAATACCCACAAGAACATATTTTATGCATAGATTTCTTCATAAGACAAAACTCTTATACTATTTAATTTGACAGTATTGTGGTCACTGGTCATTGTTGCATTTGAGCAGATACTAGTACCTGGATAAATGCAGTATATAAATGAATAATATATTTAATAATATATTAAAAATTAACAAACCATGTCAAATATTTTATGATGTTGTTGTTGCCTCACTGAACATGCTGAATATGACAAATGATACATCAACTGCTGACTTGTTATTGTATTCGTGAATTATTATTCGTATTCGTTACCCTATATTCGTGATACAAATCGTATTCGCCTCATAGTGTATTCGTTGCAGCCCTAGTATGTTGTGATTGAAATCCTCCCAAAACAAAACTTTGTTACCCTCAATAATTTATGGCATTGTGAAACTCATATTTTTTCAGTTGCATTACAGACATAACTGATCAGGGAAATTACCAAGTGTAATTTAGTCATGACAATGTCATCAACATTATGAATATTGATATGACATTATAAAACCATTTCATAAATTTGAAGTCATTTCCAAATTAGCTTTATTTATCATATTTATCTACAGACTTACAGTTGGCTTAAAAAAATCATAAAAGAAGACCTCAGTCACAGTCTAAAACATTAATGGGTTTTATTTTTTTAATTCATTGAACATGTTGGAAGTTTGGATTGAAACTCGCATAAATGCATTTTAACATTTTCTGAAGCAGTAGTGTTGCATTGTGGAAACATTGTCATTGAGATACAACTCTGTATGGTTATGGACAAGCTGTGACTAGTCTCATTAATATCATGTTTTGGCTCAGACATTGAGGAGTCTCAACTCAGGCTTTTCATGCAAAGCTGCATACAAAATTAGGTAAGTTCAACCGCCCATCGTACACGCTTTCAGTTTCAACCCGTCACATTTCTGCAGTCAAATCTGAACTGGGCATAACCAAAACTAAACACAATTTATTAATGAGCTGAAATTTATCATGAAAAATACGCGTGGTGCAATATGCGATTAGAAGTATATTCATGATCTATTTTGCAGTCTACCGAACAGATTCGAAACAGTCGATTTCAAACAGCTCAAATTTAGTGATGATACGTAACTAAACAAGACAAGGAATTCGTATCGACTGTAAATAATTTGATGAAAATTGTCTGCCTAGTTCAACATTTCATAACAGCTTACCAGTGACTACACAAGTGGCCTTTCCGTTGAGGAAAAGGAAACAATCATAGCTGAGTTTTATCAGTCGGCGGCTACAAAAATGGCGGCCACTGTGATGTCATGTCCGTGAAAACTTCTCAACTCACGAGTTATTTCCCTTAGATCAGTTGGATCCACGTTTTCGGGCTTTTCACCCGTTGCTCTTCTATCTCGCTTTCATCATAAGGAATTCACTGTACGTTGTATATCTAACCGTTACCACGGTTTCTCTAATGTAGAAACATGCAAATTGTATGTACGTATAGACAAGCAAGGACAAGTGATATATTTTTAAGGAAACTATACTGTAGATCTATAGGTCTAATGGTTAGAAAAGGGAATGCTAATGCATATTGGTATTTGATCAAATAAGAACTTATAAATATTGAGCTTATATTTGTATTTTATCATCAGGATAAGTGTTAAATCATATTTGAAGTGTGCGCTAGTACATCTTTGTATGATTTCAACACTACGTTGAACTAAACAGTATATACCGTTGCTTGACAACGGTATTTATTGTAAGGATCTATACCGAAACGTCGCCTTTACCGTATTAAAGAAGTTGTTATCCATACTTTGTGTCTACTTTGTCATCCGTCAACTTCTAAGTAATGCCTATCAAACAATTCATACGTTGAACTAGTCCTCGCGCAAGAATCGCCTCGCCAGTTCGGGGTTATACTTTCCTCAGTATTGCTTTTTACCAAGATTGTATAACTTTACATAATTGTTAATTACACATTTGTCCACATATATTCTTTATGTGGTGGGGCGGTGGGTAGCCTAGTGGTTAAAAGACCCGACATGGGTACAATGTGTGAAGCCAAATTCTGGTGTCCCCCGCTGTGAAATAAGTGGAATATTGCTAAAAGCGGCGTAAAACCATACTCACTCACTCTTTGTTGAATGTTTGAGTATATATCTGGTATAAAACAATACCCCATCACGCTGTAACATAAAATATATTGCAATATATAATATTATAAGATGTCTACAGCGTACAGTATCACATGCCAACTTGCATTGTGCGGGCTAGGTAATAGATTTTACGTGCGCATCATATCGATTGCTCGGCATATTTTCTCAGAACAATGAAAGAGCGTAAGGACACTTTGACATATGCGTGCGTGCGTGCGTGCATATATGTATTGAATGAGTGTGGAACATATTTATGTCTCTAATATTGCAAACATGCGTCCAATACACGGCGTCTATTTCCAACCTCAGATGATATATGAAGTACTCACAACATTGCACCAGTAAAGATTCGGGTTAGAATTTGTCTTCAGCACCCATGTCGTAAGACGCGACTAACGGGATTGGGTAGTCAGGTCGCTGACTTGGTTGATGCATGTCATTGCATCCCACTTCTGTCATCTACCTACCACGGAGAGTGCATGACAATTTTACCATTAGTACTTGACGATTTGGACCTGTGAAGATCCGGGATAGAATAGGTCTTCAGCAACCCATGCTTGCTGTAAAAGGCGACTATGCTTGGCGTA